CTTATTCCCAGGTGGAACTTCAGCCAGCTGGCGTCGGGGTCAAAGGTCACTTCATGTTCGTTCACAGTGATGTTGGACAGGGCCGCTGCCTCACTGTAGAGTTTCATATGTCTGAGGAGTGAGAAGCCGTACAGAGGTTAACTTTAACAAAACAGTCCGGACAGAGTACAAGTGCAATCGCACACTTTCTTGCTGTAGAGAGGATGTGAATGCCATGTTACATAAACAACTGTGAGGCAGCCGAATGAAAGAGACCAGGGCTCTTGCAAAACCTGGATTGGCAAGCTTTAAAAAAAACACCCTCTGCTTGGGAATTACAGGCAGGCAAATTAAAATCACTTCTTGCAACATTTTGTGTAGGCAGTATTTTATTTTTGGAAAGACCACAGATTTGGAACGGTACTTGATGCCAGAAATCTGTGTGGTAAAGTGCATTCAACAGGTTTTCTTCACAGCAGGTCTTACAATGTGTTTAGTACAGACATTTATTGAATTCATTACGCACACTCTGTTTTATAAATTTATTTGCCCATTTCCCCCTGTAGCCCAATTTTCATTTACATATAGAATTTTATTAGTTATCTAATGGGCTCTTTATTGTTTTTAAAAGCATTTGTAACACAAATGTGAATTCCAAAAGCATCCTCTCCTCTCTGCTGTACTTGAAGCCTGAACCAGACCCCCAAAAAATCTCCGGTGAATTGGGCCCCACATCGCCAGCGCTGACCGCACTGAGTGGGACAGTCATCTACCAACCCAAACAAACTCCATCACAGCCTGGATGAAGCCCAGAGATAATAAAGCAAAGGAATATAAATAGGATTTGTTCATCGCTCATCCTACTGAGCCATCAGTCGCCCAGCGAGCTGAAGTGACAGATCAGGTTAATCAGGACAAGGGATAAGTGCAGACCACAGACCACAGTGTTGAATCAAACAGGAGAAACAAAGAGGAAATGGAGAGTGTTTCAGTGGTGCAACATTTGCCAGGAAGCATGCAAGTAAGCACGCAAATAAAACCAGTTGTCATTTGAGAAGCCCTTGTCAAAAAGCTCTTCTATGTGTGTTTGCAGTGTTAAGATGCGGCTGCAAGATATAAACAAGGCTTTGGGCTATCCATTGTGTTTGTTTAGTCTTTTTTTTTCAAAGCAGCTGAGAGGAGATCCATTGCTCATATTTCTTCTGATTTTCCACTGTAAGAGCCCAAAATCTGTATCTCTCAGAGGGAGTGCACTGTGTCAGGATAGACAGCCTCGTGAGCCAAGACAGCTACGGCTCCCACAGATTATGATGGGCTTTAGCAGCTTTAAATCCCTGTTTACCTTAAAAAGAGCATTGCAGAGGCGAGCGCTCGCAATGACATGTTTGTGAGGGTTTTCTGCCACCAGCTTTCATGACGCACAGAAGTGTCTACACAATCTGACGTCTGTCTGTGGGTGTATGTCTGTTATTGTGAACAAATGCTGTTCAAGTGTGTTTATGTGCGTGGATGTGTGTTTGTGTGCATCTGCTGAGGGTTTGGCCGTAATGTCAGTGAACCCTGCCCCCTCTACCACAGTCAAGCCCTACACGTGCTTCACAACACAGTGAAATCTTTTTCTCTTCTTTCACAATAAAGTTGAGTAACACGTGAAAAGGTCCCATTTAGTTAGTTGTCAGGCCATCACAAAACCAACTGCACTGTGGGCAAAATAAGCAACATCTAAATGTGATCTTTAAAATCTTGAAAAACTACACAAGTAACTGACCTTTCCCAGCGTGACACCTTCCTCCTGTAGTACTCCATCAGCTGCTCCCCCTGCAGCAGCCTCTCCTCCGGCCCCAGCACCGGAGTCTGGATGTTGTACAGAGGGTGAGCAAACAGCCTCCCCAGCTTTGAGCCCCCATCTGTGGGTTCAGATGTGGTGCCATCCAGGGGCGGCACCGAAGTCCAGTTGTAGAGTTGGGGGGTGGCGAGACCCCCGTGCCTGGGAAGGGTTAGATTTCTGGGGCCGCATGAGCAAAAGTGTCCCGATCCTTGCCCCACGCTCCGCAGCTTTGGCAGGAGGATAAAGTAGAGGTCAGCGGAGAAGATGGCTGTGAGGGTCGCGGCCAAGAAAAGACGGTCTCTCCTCATCATTTTAACACGCAGAGGGGGAAATATAGATAGAGAAAGCTGAAGAAAGTCCTGACTATGTGCTGCTCCAGAGGGTGTGAGGCATCACTTGTCGGGCTGCATCCAGTGTCTCACACAGTCAGCCAAGGCAGTGGCGAGAGGTAAGCAGCCAGAGGTTGGTCCAAGTCTCTCTCTTTCTCTTCTCTATCTATGTGTTTCAGTCTGTTCCTTTCAGCCTCACTATTTCTTTTCCCTTCCTCCTCATCCTCCTCCTACTCCTCCTTCTCCCCCTCCTCCTCCCTTGGCCGCGACTAAAGAGAGAGCCGAGCTGAAAGCGAGCATGTGTGTGCAGCGGTAACCGACAGTTTGGCTGCTTCCAGGGACATGCTGACAAGAGAGAGCGAGAGTGTGCTTATGTGTGTGTGTGTGTGTGTGTGTGTGTGTGTGTGTGTGTGTGTGTGTGTGTGTGTGTGTGTGTGTGTGTGTGAGAGAGAGAGAAAGTAGATAGGTGTGTGTGTGTGTGTGTGTGTGTGTGTGTGTGTGTGTGTGTGTGTGTGTGTGTGCAAGTATGTACACAAACATTAAATGAAAGGTTAGCAGATTGTGGATGAGTGCAATGAGGGTGTTAAATAACACACACACACACACACACAGACACACACAAATACACTCGAAGGGTTAAAGCTGAAGGACAAAGATTAGCAGGAAGATTGTGAGTGTGTAAGTGTAAGTTTACAGGTGTTTGTATAAAAGTGTGTTATGGGTGTGTGAGTGCCTGACTTGCCTTGACATCCCTTTTTTTCCAAAGAAGGCGTGGTGACAAATCTCTCCTCCTCCCAAACCTATCATGCCATACCTTAAACTTAAACTTTCATCCTCTTTTCCCCTCTGTCATCTTTGCCACCTCTCTCCGCCCTCCTCTCTTTCTCTGCCTTTTTCCTCCACAGACCTCCACTCTGTTTGACTCCAGGCGGAAATTCTCTGCTGCACTTTCCTGCCTGCTGCAGTTCCCACACGTGAATCCCTCACTTCCTCCCTGTCATGCTGTTCTACAGAGAGAAGTTCAGGGGAGGCAGCGCTGGAAATAAATACAAGTTCTTGCACAACTTCAAATGAGGAAACACACAGGGAAAACTGACCTCCCTGATTCCTTGCGAAAACATTCAGTGTGTAAATTACGATTGCAGCTTGTTGCCTGTTTCGGCTCTAAAAGCCCTAAGCTGCTTCATGCCGAAGCAGTGAAGATCTCACAGGGCATTTCCCAGCCGGCATCTGTGCTGTTACTGTGGTATTTTGGAACATCTGCCGTCTGTTTGTGTGTGTATGCGTGCGTGTTTTGGTGTGTGGAAGTCTGGCAAAACTACACATTTATGTCTGGGAGTTGTTCTCCAGGGTGTTTTATCCTCTCTGAAGAGAAAACAGGCTGAGAGAAGTCCTCACTGATGTTGGAAATTAGTGAAAGGAAGCTTTAACCTGCCATTTAGCCAAATTGTAGATGAGCTTCTGTTTTGCCTCCACACACACACACACACACACACACACACAGTGTGTGACTGCCTCCTATAAGGTTTTTTTTCCACAGCTACAAAAACAAAAAGAGACGCTTTTGTTGTTCTTTTGACCCAAATACATGACATAAAACAAATCAGCTTTTAGTCACAACTAAATGAGTTTTCCATTTTAAGTCTGCTTGTGCATGGTCTCTTGAAACTGTATTTTCAACTGTATAATGAACTTTTAAGACAGAAAATCCCACAACTAAAGATCCCCCTGTAGATCCTTAGGGACAACACACTGAGAAATGTATAAGAAAGGTAAAGATAAAGGGAAAGTGTGCATTGGGTTGAAAATGTAATCACCTCATATCAAATCATCTGTGCTCGTCAGTAGAGAGAAGCACAACACAATTCAGTAATGCTGGGATGTCTTACAGATGCCCAAGGGGCAAAAGTGACATCTAGATCACTTGCCCCTTTATGTCCCAACTGTGTCTGTTTGTATTTATTCCTGAGACACTTATTCGAGAAAGGGCTCTGCACTCTCTCACTCCCCCGCTAAAACATCCAGACCAGTGCTTAAAATATGCTTTTCTTTTTTTTTAAGGATGAGGGGGCAAGCACATGCAAAGAAGGGCAACATGGAATATGGAAAGAAAAAAAACAAACAAAAGTGGGGCATTGAGTCTTACGTCACCAATTTGTGCAATTCAGCAGAGCTGTGATGATATGTACAGGGTGGGTTGCGTTGAGATAAATGTGTGAGATGGCCCAGATGTCTGTCTGTCTAGATGTTTGTATGAATGACCCAGAAGTCTCAAACATCAGGACATTTCACACTGCTGATAAAAGAACTACAACAATAATGTGAAGCTAGTGTTTCACAAACACAAGGGGAACATGCATAGCTGTAAATATTCCCATAAGATGATTTTTTTTAAATCTTGTGCGCACAAGATAAAAAATATAATCTTATGGGACTTCAATGGCTCCATAAAATACCCAGAGCTTGTCATTTGTATACCACTGTTTTTGGAAGGATTAAACATATAGATATAACCTTTCTTGAACCTTTGGACAGAGTCAGGCTAGCCATTTCCCACATTTCCAGTCTTTACGCTAAGCTAAGCTAAGATAAGCTAAGCTAAACGACTGCTTGATGTATCTCATACTTTGCATACAAACTTGCGACTGGTATCAATCTTCTCGTCTATCTCTAAGCATATTGTGACAGCCCCTGTGTGGTTCGGGCTGCTCTGTGGGAGTGATATCTCACTGGTCTTAACCATCTTTGTTTTGTTGAGGTGATCTGGTGCACCTGAGACCTGTGAGCCAGTGCCGTTAAAGCTCCACCTGGTCAATCTACATTCTCTTCTCTGCAATCCAGACGTCAACCATGGCCTGATCAAATCAACTGCCACATCTTGCTTTGGGTTTATTTACTTTACAGACACATTTACATTTATTCATTAAGCTGATGCTTTTATCCAAAGCGACTTACAATTGCTATACATGTCAGAGGTCGCACGGCTCTGGAGCAACTAGGGGTTAAGTGTCTTGCTCAGGGACACAATGGTAGATGGGTCACAGTGGGGAATTGAACCCGGGTCTCTCACACCAAAGGCATGTGTCTTATCCATTGCGCAATCACCACACCAAATTTTGCACATTTAAATAGTTATGTTTAGTTCGCTATTTTCTTAAATAAATCACTTTTTGATCATTTATGCTGCCTCATTCCCTCTTTTGTCATGGCCCTTGAGCCAGGTTGTGACAATATTACCCAAAATATCACAACCATTGCTTTAAAGAAGAGATGAATATGAGAGGGAGCGAACATCAGGAAATGTGGGCAGAGTTTGGAATGAATGAAAAAGAATAAGAAAAAATGCTAAATGCAAGACAGACAGAAGGTGGGGAAAACAATTCCTACAGTTTTCAGTATCTTTATCGTGCTGTGTAAGTCCGGTGCAGTGTATATGATAGACTGTTCTAAAGTAGAAATATTGCCAGTACAGTATGGCATATTTAAACACATATTCATGTTTACAGTTTCAAGACAACTTCATAAAATAAGGGGAAAACAGAAAACAGCATTCATGTCTGCATCTTTGTTTGTTTATATCTGACTGGACTGGTAGGAAGCTTCACTTTTCCTTCTAGATGTTGTGAGCTGAGCCTTTTGCTGTCAGTCAAGCTCTGACACCGGACCCAGGGGATTGTGGGTAAATCCTCAGTGGAGCCTTCTCCTGGAAAAGGAATATGAATAAAAAAGAGGAAAATGAAGACCAGACTTTTCAGCCTCAGGTTCAGAAAACTATTTTCATAAATATAGAGCAGAGTTTATGGGGCAGCATCATCAAGGCATTTCTGACATTCTTCTCTCAACAAACTTCTAAAGCAGTCTGATGAATCGATGGATGTCTTTTTAACTTCCTTTCTGACCTCTCAGCGGTCAGTCCACAAGGACTGGAAGCTACAGGGAAAGTTTCTTCCATATCTAAGCCACAAATGCAGTGTGGCAGCACAACCCACAATATGGAGGGATGAGGTCACAGTTAGACAGAGACAGAGAGAGGATAGAGAAGCTCAATGGAAGGAGAGACCAAGAGAAAGATTTGGAGCTGTTAACACAAAATGAGAAAAGGAGGAAGTGGGAAAGACATGCATGCAAACACTCAAATGAAAGAAATCAGGTTTTTCCCATCAGATGTATCTAAAATAGAGTGGCAGAATTCCTCTGGTCCTTCTTTTATCCCTCTTTCATTATCCCTCAATCACTTCAGGCTGACGTGGAGCCACAGTGCTGGGACCAAAGGATGTGGAACTACACCCTCACATTCCTCCAGAATTGATCGAACCTTTTATAGCCGTGTGTGCTGACTAGTACTCCACTACTACTGGATGTCAACAAAGCTAGACTACCGCCGACAACAACAAACACTCCTGCTTAGTATTTGCATAATAGCCTATACTGAAAATGCAATTGCACTGTCCAGAACAGTAGAGCACACCGGCAAGGCAAAATGACTGTTGTAGATGGAAAGCTGATCAAATAAAGTTTATTGATTGTTCATGGGGAAATCAGGCACTGCAGCAGCAAAGAGCTGACCATTTTTATGCTAACATGTCAAATTAGCTTTATAGTAGTGCAGGTGTCGAAAAGTCATAAATGCTAATGTCAGTGTCACAGCAATATCTGTCTAATGTTTGCTAACATTAGCCTCCACAAACTAATTTAACTTACCATTTAAATGGAGAAGTGTGTCTTTTCCTTTTTCAAAAGTCACATGCTGTTGCTTTGCGTTGAGACATCCATCATGCTGATTGAAAATGTTAGTTTAAAGGAACAGTACAACTTGTGACAGGTTCAGTTTTAAATTTGATAGTTAATTTCCACAATGTTTGCATTTAGCTGTTTCCCCGTTTCCAGTCTTTGTGCTAAGCTAAGCTAATTGGCTGCTGGCTGTAGCTTCATTTTTACCGTAGCCTACAGACACTGGAAAGTGGTATCTATTCTGACTGTTGGCAGTAAAGCAAATAAGCACATTTCCCGAAATAATTTTTAGATTAATTTGCACATTTTTGGTAGTCTTTTTAAACAAAATGCAATGAAAAAGGATGAAAAAGTTAATTGAATTTTTATTATTGCAGTCACTAGGCATCAACAGAATATCAAGATCAGATATTCATGAGATATTCAGGACCGAAGTCTGATGGGGCGAACACAGCCAATCAGCAGTGATTGCTGGTGCGGATGCCATCGAACAGATGTCTCCTTTCATGACATGAAACTACCGTCTGGCAAAGGTCCTCACACAGACACTGACACAAAACAGATGCACAGATGATGGTTGGATGGATAGGTGTGCACAGAGGGAAGAGAAGAAGATAATTGATGAGATAGATGAGAATCACGTGTGTGTGTGTGTGTGTGTGTGTGTGTGTGTGTGTGTGTGTGTGTGTGTGTGTGTGTGTGTGAGAGCAGTTTAAGTGTCCACACTCATCAGCAGCTGATTGTATGTTTTCAAGGTTACCATGAGCTGCTGTGGTCGCTCGTGGGCATTCTCTGATGGGCTGGTAGATGAAGCTAAAGAGGGTGACAGGAGACAACGTTAGCTAGTTTGTGTGTGTGTACATAACTGTGTCTGCCTGGGTGTGGTTGCTGAGAAAGCACAGCTAATCGCTTATTTTGGCAAGTCCTGAGTAACGGGCAGAAAGTGAAAGGAAAGTGTACAAAATTTCCTGCAGATACACACACACATACACACACACACACACACACAGACACACAAATCATGAGCATTTGTGCACGTTACATTTTTTTTTTTTATCTGGATTGCGTCTCTGGAGCAGAACATTGCCCAAATGTTCCTGAGCCGAGATCCAGACTTCAGAGGAAGAGAATGTGAAGAATGCTCTGACTCTTTTCTTCATAACGTGGTGAAATTGGACATGATTTAATCAGAGTATCAGGTTTAATTAGCTTGGAAGGCTAACCTGAACTGGACGTCTAGTCTCCTTCCAGTATCTGCAGCAGCAGCTACACACACATCCACACACATGTGTAGGATTCTGATGAAAGTGGTAATTACTGGAATGGACATTCCCAGAGCACAGCCAAATGTGACTGGAGACTGGAGATGGCCTGGGTCAGTGAGAGGCCATGTGTGTGTGTCTGTGTGTGGAGCACCTCAAAACACCTGTTTGCACTAAATGTTTACCTTCAAAACATTCTTCCTGTGAAGTTTGACCCCTGTTGATGGGGTCAGGTGCTTGACTTTTGACCTTGCTGAGCCCCATTTCGTCACTTTCAGTCCTCTCATCTGCGTCTTGTGTCAGTTTCATTTTTTTCTCCCTACGGATGTCAGAAGCAAAAGATATCGCTTTTGCTGAAGGGAATCCACTTGTGCAAACACAATGCTGTTTACTTTAGATGAGACAGGTTTCACAATTTTGGTTCATGTGACTGAACTAATCAGGACTTAGATTAATGATCTCTGTTGGATGGTATTTTGTCCCAGAGTCTGATATCTGTGTGAGTGTTTGTTGTTAGATCTGATTTAAACCAGAGCTGTTGCTGTTCTCCATTTCTGTGGTGTAGCTGGCCTGCACTTGAGTACTGTGTGTGTGTGTGTGTGTGTGTGTGTGTGTGTGTGTGTGTGTGTGTGTGTGTGTGTGTGTGTGTGAGTGAGTGAGAGAGATAGAGAGTGTGTGTGTGTGCATGTGTGTTTTTGTGCATTTTAGGACTGGTCAATAGGTTAAATTTGGTTAAAAGTAACTTATTATGATTTCAATATGCAAGAGCTCAACTTCATGAATGTGCAAGCTAAGAGCCCACAGACTGATTAGTTATGTAAAAGAGACTACAAAGAGTGAATGTGTGTTGAAGACAACTTATTTGGGATATTTACACTTGTTTAAGGATTATTAAAACCTGTATAGTGTTTTAGTAACAGTATTTACCATATGGTTATAAATTGGGCAATGTATGGCCAAAACAAGTCTACAGCCATGCTAACATGCTTACAATGACAATGCCAATATAGTGGTGTAAGTAAGTGGTAAGTATAATGTTTAGCATTCTCAACGCCTTATTTTAGCTTGGTAGCATGTAACATTTGCTAATTAACACTAAGCACAAAGTACAGTGGAGGCTAATGGGAATGTCATTAGTTTTGCACCAAGATAAGACAAAAAACTGAAATATTTGTACAGAAACAGAACAAATTTTTCTATGCTCGTCTTCTTGCCTGTCCTGGATTACAGTGACATTATCTATAGACACACATTTGCCTTTGTCACTCCACCCCAAGATTTATTACGGTGACAGTTATTCTACTCATCACTGAGTGGGCATCTCTAATAGTGACACGATACAGGCATTGGTTTTTATTTATTTTTAAAGCCCTAAATGACAACTTGCCATCTTTTTTCACTTCCTCATTATACTGGTCCGATAGTCTCGTCCAAGTGATTGGCTAATAATCCCACATGCAAACACTAAATTTGGGAAAAGTGTTTTTAATTTTTGTGCTGCACACACTTGGAAAAGTTTACACACATTAAGACACAATTGTACCCATAGGTCAATTTAAAAAACACAAAAAACTCTTGAAGTAACAGTTTTTTTTCTCATTAATTATATTTGGTGTGTATTTAATCGGTTTTACAGAGGTGGTATTATGCTCATTTTCAGATTCAAAATCTTATTTAGGGGTTGCACCAGAACAGGTTTACAGGGTTTAATTTTCAAAAATATTTTTTGTCATACTGCACATTGTTACAGCTCCTCTTTTCATCCTGTGTGTGAATGCTTCTTTTTAGCTATGGAGTGAATCATCTTGTCTATAAATGATCTTTGTTGGGAGTTGCACATGCGCAGTTCCTAGTTAAGGACTACTAGCCAATCAGAAGCAGTTTTTGAGGGCATGTCCGACTAGCTGCTTGGCGAGTGTTATGAGGCGTATTTTGTTTTCATCCCTGTGACGTCACAGGAATGAAAGAGAAACTCCTGGACTACAAACGAGGAGAGATGAGCTGAACATCTGACATTGCCATCCCTAAAAAAATCTGAATTATACAACACTTATGGGAGTGCTGCAGCAAAGACGTTGAAACATTCTGTAGCGCTCTGTGGGTGGTTGACCAATCAGAAACCACAGATGCAGTGACAGAGTGAGAAATTGATGCAAATAATATAAATTACTGAACTTTTCCTTAACCCTTAACCATTAAGTTAAACTATGTAATGGTTTGGTTCCTCAGTGAGCTTCATATTTATGTGTCTCTGGATATGCTGACTCTGTGTTTCACTTCACTGCCGTTTTTCACCCTCTTAAATTAGGAGTGTTCGCTCATTTATGGTCCATGTTACCAAACATGTGACCAAAATACAGTCAAGCACACAGCAAAGGCCTGGGCCAAGCCAGAGTTTATGACCTTTAACCAAACTGAAGTTTCTATTAAAGACTCGAACTTCTGTGGAAACATGGAGGGAAGTTTCTTTTGGAGAAAGCACTCACCCATGACGTATTCCTCTGCACATTGTCTATATTAGATTTGGCACAAACTATCCAGGCTTCATATATAATCCCAAAAAGGCTGCCATGTTTACACACATCATCCTCAAAATTTGGACTGTATAATCCAATATGCGTCAGGGGCAGCTTGTGTGCAGTCATTTTTAGTATTTGTGGCCTCCAATGCAATAAGAAAATATGTCTTTGTTCAGATTTTGGCATTTTTTTGTTTCCCTACAAATGAAATTTAGTTTCATGTGTTTAAATATAATTTTGTCATGGAGGCGCTGCCATTTCTAAGCGGCCTCTGTGACTGTTTTTCATTTTTCCTATTATTTTACATTTGAAATGTGCAACAGACGAGCTCATGAACCTCACCACTGGTAAGTAGCTGGGTCAGTATTATTCCACAATACTTCCTGCCCGAAAGAACCCACGAGATCTCCGTCTACAGTCCACAGACCAGCAGAGCCGTCAGCTGAGGCTGTGAGGATGAACAATCTGTCAACCACCTCGAGGACTTCCACACTCACTAACGCTCCCTTATGAGCCTTCCAACACTGCAGCAGAGGAGGCCGCTCACAAACTGGCTGTGTAGATGGAGAACACATCAGGTATATGGGGATATACATTCACACCAGCTCACACACACAAAGACATATCCTTCTCACCTCGTGTTGGATGTCCAGTGCAAAGTGACAGATGTCCCAGATCTGAAGCCAGCCCGTTGTGTCTCCAGACACGAGGATGGTGTTTTTAAGCCGATCTGAGCTCAGGCTGATCACACGCTCACCTGGCTGCTCTGGAGCATAGAACTGTCCTGGAATGAATAGGAAAAAAGGAACTATTCTTATGCAAAAAAAATCTTAAAAAATCTAGATGGATCATGATTTTAACAATAGTCTCCTGCAGGTTTGGGTTCCTGAAGGTCTGCAGGGAGAATGACTGTTTCAGTGAAAATTGTGTGCGAGGAAATCTATTTACAGTCACATTTAGTGCCATTTTTAAGAATACTGTCTTGACTTAAATGACAAATGTATTTCCGAGACAAATTGCAATCATTTAATGCTTTATGTCACACTCTCAAATTCCTTTATGCTAGAAAAATGCATGGACACATAGACTTATACACACACACACACACACACACACACACACACACACACACAAATGTACACTGTCATACACCCATGCATGCTCGCACACATATGCAGCGGTCACAGTGATTGAATCCCACACCACTAAACACAGATGGGATCTGGAAAGAGACATAGCTGTGGGCTGCCAGGAATGGTACAGGCTAGAGGCCAAGTCGACAGTTCAGCCGAACTGTCACTGCTTTGCCTGCTTGTAAATCCATCTTAAGGGAGAATCATTAAATCTGACAGCTGCTTGTCAACTGCTTGCACAGTTTGGTGCTTCTGCCACCCTCATAGTGTGAAAGTTCTATGTTAAATTCCTGTCTTTTTATTTTTGATTCATTTATTCTGAATGATACTCCCTGCATCCATCCGACCTCTCCCTCTCCCACTCACCATAAGTTTGTGTCTGTCCAGTGATGCTCCAAAAGCAGAGACAGCCAGCCTGCGATGAGACCAAGACGCCTCTGTTTTTCAACTTTCTGTCACCTGCCCGATGCTGCAGGAACAAGAGGCTGTCCACAGGGGGCACCACTCTAGATGCACACAAGCAGAAGAAAACAAACAAATAACAGTGAATACACCCACTAAGGATGCAGTACTCTGGACAGGAACAGGTCGGCTTTGCACATGGCTGCGTTTTCTCACCCTCTCCGTGTCAGTCTCTGTAGGTGGAGCACGGCTCCTTTCGTCTCCAGCCTCCAGATAATGACCTCTCCATCATGGCTCCCCGTGGCAATGACCCCCAGAGTGGAGCACTGACACACAGCCAGGATGTCTGACTTGTGAACACCGTTGGACTTCCACGACATGTCTGCTCTTACATACAAATCCTATGTGTATAGTATTTAAATATAAATTACATCAAAGCTTTTTTTTGTGGTATTTATTATAAAAATGCAGTGCACTTGGTATGCAGTTTCAAATTTAAAATCACCAGTTTTAGTGGTTTTGTGCTAAAATAGCAAAGATTTTCCAGAAAACACAAAGTACCATGTTGTCTTCAGGCTCCACTGTGTGCATGAGTTTGTTGGCTGAAGTTGTGAAACTATTTTCACATCACTTCCCACATCACTGTGTGACAGTTTACAAATGGTCTGAAGATCACATGTAATTGTTTGTGTTGCCTTGTGGAAAGCAGCTCTATTTACTTCTCAGGTTTACTGATTTTGTTTACACCTCTGGGCTACGATGTTTTGGTCAGCCTTTTAAAACTGGATTACCTGGAAGCTCAGCATGGTGGACGTTAGGGAAAAACTGCAGCAGATGTCTTGCGTGGCACAGATGCCTTAGATCTCATTAGGTGCATGTCTAAATGTAGTTTACATCATTTGCTGATATTATTTACTCCTACACAACAGTCCTCGGATATTTTTTTCCTCAGCCTTAAGGCAATGGCAAAGCCTACTGTGTTAGCAGGGGGCTTTACAATGAGAAACATATGGTCAGAAAAATAGGATTGAGAATTTGCTGGGTAGGCGTGAATACTGAATGTTACTACTGTAGTCTTGAAGAGATGAATCCGACCGCAATTTGAGGTGTGAAAATATGCACACCCAGACCTTTGCCTCACATCGCACTTCATACTGGTGTTTATACTGGCACTGGTAATAGTAATTTTTTGAGACCTGAGTGTCAGCATGTATAAATGTGTAGGTGGATGTGGTGAAGTTTTTTATGCTTTGAGAAGCTGTAGACATTATATTTTGCTTGCAATTAATGGACATAAGAGGTCTCATTTAAAGATATCACAGATTTAACCATGTATTTTTTGGATATGTTTTGTGCTAGTATTGAAGGCTAAACGTCTTCTTAAGCTCAAACTGTTGTCAGCATTCCTAAGAAAAACACAGCGTTTTAAGTCTGTATCAGATTAGTCACTATGGTGACAAATGTTTGTGTGGGACTCATCATTCAGCATTCAACATCTGGGGAAGAACTTGTGGACGAGCAAAGTGCGAAGGCTAAAACCGCTTGGCTTTTGGTCATTAATAAATATTTGTGCTGCACATTTACTGGCAATCAAATGCTTTTGTAATTTATTTAATTCTGTGATTTTCTGTTTCAATAGGTAATGCTTTATTGTTGTCCATCAAGTAATGATTGCTGTCGATGCTCAAACTAACTACACTGCTTTTCCTTCTATTTTTCCAAACAAATGGCTATTACTGATAGAAACATGACAAATTACTTCCTGCCCTGAAGAGCATTTTCTTCCAAAATACCGACCAGACCTGCACAAAAAAAGGCAAGAACATCCTACATTTATATTTTTGTTTCATCTGTGTTGTTTTCCATGTCCAGATCCCACTGGATGTTCCCCGCACTACATTGAAGGTTTGAAGGTGCCATGTGGAGGTTTTGACCACTAGTAGCTCTATGGAGCAATGTCTTTATAAGTGAGTCCCCATGACGCACAGTGCTGCTGATGGTTTCATGTTATTCCACAGAGTGGATTCTGGTCATCTGCCAAAAAGTGCAGCAACACGCCAAAAAAAGCAAGGTAGAAAAAGACTGCTAGCAAGCAATATACATAGACAATGCAAGATTCAAATTCAATCTAAAATTTGGCTTTACTTTTTTGTATTATGTTTTAAGGATGGCATTTTATTGTGAAACGGTGAAAGTAAACATACTTTTGTTTACAAAATGAACTTCACATAGTACCTTTAATGTTCTATCTCTTGTATTTAAAATAATGAACTGAATTCCAGGTTTAATTATAATTTTGTTGTATCAGTTGTAACCAAAATATTAAAGGTAAGGAGTAACTTCATACCTCCTGGAAATCTTTTTTTTTTTTTGCTGCACTCTAGCGGTTTAATTCTTCACTTTTTTGCAGTGATTTACAGGTGTACTCCAGGACGCTGTAACATCACTGTTAAAGGGGCCATATGTTTTTTTTTCAATGAAACAAATCACTTTTTATTGTCTGTGAGTAAAGGGGTTGTAAGCTCACATAAAAAAGATCCACTTGCCAGTTTTTTTCTGTTACCTCTAAAGGCCGGTAGTCTATCCCTGTTCCTATGTGAAGACTCCGGGTCGGATTTTCTCGCAAAATCCCGTGGCTGTGAAGTGCATGCGCAATCCAAGCCTCTTGCCTTGTCTACTGACTCTGCACTAAACAGAGACGACATTGTAGCAAATATGTGGTAGTAGTGACGCATGCGTAGTAGAAGTACAACCGGTTGGGAAAAACGCTTTTTAAACCTTATTTTGGGGCAAAGTCATCAAACTTTTTCAGAGATTTTTATCAGATTTTACTGCTGATTCTATTCATGTAGTTTTTATGTCCCGGTGACCAGTGAAACTGCAGTTCTGGCTCTCTCCTCATTCATTCAGATAGGAGCCTGGTCTTGTTAGTCCGAAATAGGTGTCCAGAGACGTTGCCAACATGGCAGCCGAGTGGCATGACTTGCCTATAAGGACTTTGACTATACTGATGCTAGACAGAGGCAGCCAGCCACTGTATGCAAAACAACTGTTGATTATAAATTTCAAGCACCTTTAATTTTACCTTAGCAGCCGCAATGTCATACTGAGCTATCCGCTGGCTCCACCCTACAGCCATCAGCTGGTTGTCAGGGAGACAGGTCAACCCTGTGACGTCAGAGTTGGTCACAGGCTCGAGTTTGTGCAGGTTAAGGCCGTTTAGTAAGTTCCACACCTGCTTGGGCGACAAACTTCTCATGAATAAACTCTTTAAGTAACCCATACATGTGAAATAAACATGTACATCAAATCAAAGTATATTCACAGTATTTTTGTACAAACTGAGAAGATGTGTTATTAAACCTTAATAGTGCCATTGCGAGCCCCAGTGATTAGTCTTCTGTGGGAGGAGTCTAGCGCCATGCAGGTGAGTTCATCTTCTCCATGAGCATTTAAGATCTGAAGCCGCCTTCTCCCGGTCTCTACGTCCCACAGAGACACAGACGAGTCGGTATGTCCAGTCACCACCTGTCTCAAAGTGGAGTTATACAGAGCGCAGGAGAGAGCAGGACTACTTTGAATTTCTGGTCCAGTTTCCCTTCCTTCATCGGTCAACCAACCGCCCCCTCCTCTTTTCCCTTCAGCCAGATTGAGCAGTGCCAGGTAATCTTTGCATCCCACTACTAAATGAGACTGTGTCTGCTCAGGAAGATGAGGGCTCAGCAACAGGAAGGGGAAGTTGCCGTGTTCTGGGATTCGACCTGGCTGCTGGCAGGGGAAGTGCAGGCCGATGGTTTTCAGACAATGATGGCTGGAAATGTCCCAAACCCTCAGCTCCTGACAAAGGACAGACATCAATTAATTAACCAGAAAATGAACAAGCAGTATATATTTAATATATATATTTAGCTCTATTCAGACCCATTGTCAGGCCAGTTCTCTGTTTCATTACTTCATCTTTAATGACTCACAGCATCTCTTGAGTAGCTGAATATCTGCCCAGCAGGTTGGTAGATTGCAACATCCAATACAGTGGTACGGTGACCCAGCAGTGTAGTTACAGGACGTGTGGTCACAAATCGAGTCCACAGTCTGACGGCTCGGTCACAACCTCCTGTGACCATCAACTGCAGAGATGCGTTGTAGTCAAAACATTTAGCTCCCTGAAATGAGACAAAAAGACCCAGATGGTATACAGAATAAGCTGCTCTGTGTGGTCGAGAATGCACATGAACTGGTGTTTGTTTTTTTTTAAATAAAGCATGCCTACTTCTGTTAACACAGATACACTTAGCTGGTTCCATTTGTTTGGACTGAGGAGTTTATGGCTTCATTGTTAAAACTGTCCAGACAGTTGATTGCAGTATAAAATTAGTGTGCCCGTTGTGAATAACAGGAAGCATCCCCACCCAGTTTAATACTGTTTTGTGCATCAGCATTACTTCTTTTTCCCGCAGTCAGTGGCACTGTCTGCCTCTGCATGCTGGGCGGGAGTCCACTTTAGAAATAGTAACTCGACTCACAACTCATATTAGTTTTTCTAGATAAAGCTGGGTTGGGATAATTCACTGAATGCGTTATGCAATATAGCATTTGCCACGTAGGGACATTTTCCTACAACTACAGTTGAATTTTGAACTTTGATCCACCTAGTTAGGTCAGTGTCATCCAGACCAGAGTACTGTGACCGACATGTGTCTGATCTGACCTCGACAAAAATCTTTATCTTGCTGTTTTCTGTTTTATTTTCTTATACTACTGTTTAAAGAGGAATAAATGTCTAGAAATATAATTCTGATGCATAAAACAAACTATATAATAATGACTAACTGACTACACTGACTACAATAATGTGCAGAGGTGTGAGGCCACAGTTATGTTCACAAATGAGAATACATACATAACCTTCTATTCAACATCAGATCAGGCAAAACCACACTGTGCAGTCAGTTACCTGCTTAAATTTCCAAATATAAGGCTCCTGCTTCAGTGTTACATTCATGAAGACCACAGAGGTGGTATCACTTTCTGATGATGTCATGATGATGTTGGTGCTGGGCTCAAACATCACTCTGTTGATTGGTTGCTGGTGGATGTTGGGGACGTGATGGTAGGAGACCATGTTGCTGTGTTCACCAAGGTCCTGTTGGGTCATGATGGATAACAATGAGTGGTTAAGTATTGTTTATAAAATTGGAGTGTTATCAGCAAGTGCTTGGAATTGCTGCATGACACAGTTCTCTGCAAAAAACAGAGATTGAGCTCAGTAATTTAATAGACCAAGCTTACTGGGAAAAAGATCCTCTGTGGGCCGTTCTCTTTCTTAGGTGGATTCTTGAAAAGACCTTTAGATGGGTTCAGGAACCACATGAGGTGGACTCCTCCTTTCTCATCCCCCAGCAGCAGCAGGGAGGGTCGCTCTGGACACTTGGAGCGAAAAAAACATGTGACTAAAGTGATGAATTTATTGTTTTCAATTGATTGTTTTCTATTTATTGTCCTGCTGAAAAGAACATCTCAAAGTCCTACCTGAACATCATGCCAATAACAAAGAGCAGTTGGAACACTACGAAACCCTTGGAGCAAAGATGAAAGAAATAGTTTTAAAAGTTAGATCTTTGAACAGTAAATGCTTTTTTTAGTGACCAGCTCAGTTTAGTACAACGTAGTAACACGTTAGCAATCAAGTATACCAAAAACATGTACGTCCTCAAATACACTGGCTGTGGAGACATTGACAAAGTGCAAGTCCCTGCAGTCCGTTGCTATGGCAACCTTGTGGACGTTGCCCATATAGACGGCGTCAGTGGTCCAACCTCTGAATCTCCTCGTGTAGGCCACTTCCTCTGTTGGGTCTCCAGTCAGCTGGATCAAACAGGATTAAATATAAAAAAGTGTGAGTGTTGTACTTCCAGGTGGATGTAAAAGTAGTACAGTGATGTGACTCACCTCTAGACCTTTGAGGATGTGTAGGCTGCTGTTCCAGACAGAGATCTGACCCCCTTTACTGACACTAATATAGCGGAGTGGAGGAGGATGGGAAACAGCAACCAGGCGCACTGTTGGCCCCCGCTGCAGAGGAATGTACAATTAATAAAAAAGTTTACCAGAGGACTGAAATAGTTACTTTTAGAAAGAAATATACAAGAGAGTAACCTTTGTCTAGGACACTGCAATAAATTTAATAAAATGAGCGCTCTGTAGAGCTGCAGTGATAATACTCTACAGACTACTCGCTATGGTTTGTCATTATGAGTGACCCAAACATTAAAGGTTTGGTGCGGTTATGCTTAGTGTAAGAATTAGGTCTTATTATTTGTGAGGTTCCCAGCACAATAAAACATTAGCTAATTTCATTCAAATAGAAAAGACACTGGGATTTAGTTACTATCTATTAGCTACTTTCTATCTGCAGTTAGACACAAAGTGTACATCTGTCTCTCCTCAAAACTTGTCTGTGAGGTCTATACTTGTCTCTACACGAATTTTAATCATTTTGGCACCCCCATTAGGCCTTTGGGTGTAATTGAAGGATCCTACAAAGATTCAATTCCTTATTAAGTGACCAGATTTAGTCCGGGGGATTTCTACCTTATTGTGAGAGCAGTGTCTGATCTGTGGCTGCGAGTCCAGGAGGGCTGCTCTGGGGATGGAGGCACGCTCTCTCTCAGTGTACTCCAAAAGCAGGAAGGAACAAAGCTGCTGCCATTTCACCTGCCCGGTACAAGTGATATCTACCTGGACATGGAACGTTAAGACTTTCAGTGGCCCTACATCATCATCCATCAACACATTTTTGATGGCACAGTGAGTTTATGTGCTGTATTGTACTGTATAATGGCAGTACAATACAGCTTTTCTTTTTTTGTTAGTACTACCACAAAGCCACCTCTTTATTTCTCCTTACCTCACTGAAGAATCTCTCAACCCATGTGTCCTCAATATCTGGACCAATCACAGACCTCAGAACCTCCTGAAACTCTTCAAATATCATTCCACGCTCTTTGTTTCCTCCTCTGTTCCTTCCACTCCTTCTGTTTGGCCGGTCTTCACATATTTGTGCTCCAGCTTTAGGACAGGTGAATGCATTTCTCAGGAGCTGCAGGTGCTCTGGGCTCAGTTTTTCAGCAGGACTGACTCCCCAGGCTGGATCACTGCAGAGGGGACCACACAGCAGTGGTCATAGGTAGGACTGAAGGTAACTGAAGCCCTTGATCAATCAGGGTCAATTTGGTGTCTTAGCATCATGTTAGTGAGTTTTGACACTTTATTAATTCCACCCAGTCACAGACATCTGGCTTGCAGCAGAATGAACGCAGTGCTCCCATGTGGCAGCCCTGGGACAACACACTGCAGAGCCCAAAAACAGTTTAGCCTTATATGATCCATCTATGACACACACTGAGCAATGTAAATATAGATATATATATATATATATATATACACATTGAACGATGGGTCTTAATGTGTGCACTCGGTAAACGCTGCAAACGGGGATGGGGGAATAACTTAGGTTTGGGGGATGTGTTTGAAAGTGTTCCTCACCACCAGCGGCTGTGGCCCGGTTGCTCAGGGAGACCACAAGCTGGAACAATAAGTCACATGTCTCAGCATTGTGAGCTCTTTTCTCCTTTTCCATCGGGACATGCTTGAGTGGTCGTTTACATCATATACATTTCTCACAATCAACCAGCGTTAATGGAAGCGTAAAATAATTAAGTAATAAAAGTGCATTGAAAAAGAGAGTGTAAAAGGCTGTTGTATGTGAAGGAGTTGGTGAAGCTGCGTAGGAGGGACGGAGGAAATCCTTGTCAGTGTCTGAGTGGAGACAATATGTGAATCTGAACCAGAGAGATGCAAACGGACAGATAAAGGACAGAAGGATGAAGATTGAAATCATCATCACTCAGAGGGAAATGTTTTATTTGACAGGAGGGGATTTGAAGCCATAAAATGTAAGAAGCCATGGCCTGGCATCTAGTGGTATTGGTGAACTTCATGCTTTGTGCATGTGTTTATGAATTATTATGTATTACTAGTATCACGTACAGCAATTGTATGATGAATATTATGGAGGAGTATTATGAGGTAGCCTACAAATGCACATGCAAAATCTACAAAGCTTATAAATTCAGTAACATGTCATACACACTTAACACACAATTAACAATGATCCATCATATTTATCAAGATCAAATAAATAAGATAAGCTAAATAAACACTTACCAAAACCTGCTGTGTGGCACTTCTTTCTCATATTGCACCCATGGATTTTTGTTGTTTCTTAAGTTATCCATATTGGTAACCTGAGCCTCACAGTTTAAAATAATCCACACACGAGATACTGCTCCATCTTTTTCTCTTGAATTTGTGATCCAGGTTGGTCAGTGTTTCAAGTTCTTAAGTTCCAGATCCTGGTGACAAACAAAGACACAGCAACCACAAGTTTCCACCCCTTCCTCTGTCTTTTCAGGCAGTCCTGATTTGGTCAAACAAAGTATTTTATCTCCAGCCAGGGAAGGAATGTCCAGGACCACGGATCAATAAGCCATCCGTCATGAGCGTTTGACTGCTCCCAGAGGTGGAGAGTCAGCACATCACTGATGAGAAGACCGTGTTACAAAATAACTGTAACTCCGCTGTGGGTAACAGAGCCACAAACCCCACAGACAAGCCCACAGTGGATTAATCATTTACAGAGGACCTCAGGACCCAGGAGAGTTCAGATAGGCAACTTTTGCACAAGGTCAGTTCAGCTGTTCTAACATCATCATGACTATGTAGAAATCCTTGATATTTCATTTCAAATGAGCCTATGTCCAGTACACATATATTCTAATGTGAAAAAGAGTTAAAGCAATGACACTTTATATTGTTACGGCCTCACAGACTTCTACAACTAATGCAGTTTAATTATTGCTAGGCAACCACAGCAGTTTTGCTTACCACTTCAACGAGCATGAGCTATCCAGAGTGGCCTCCCACTATGTTTAATGAAGGTACCCAAAAGGTCCCAGTGGAGTGTGGTCCCTTGCACCTGGTCTAATCTTAGACCTATACATACCTACACACCAGTGGTTTATAATATAACTGGCTCAATAACTACATAATTCATCTGATATACATTATGATGCAATGGCCAGTAATGGATGACAGAAACTAAATCACAGCACATTAACAGCGGCTCTGTTCTATTCCTGCAATAATAATCAATATGTTTAAAGACTCCTTGCCCAATTCAATACATTGATTAGTTCTCTGATGTTATTATGGTGTTTCAGTCAAAAAGGCTACCTGCTGTGCCATGTAGCCATTTTAGAGCAGTGTCTGTCATCAGTGGGCCTCTTAAGGTGACATTTAACATCTCAGACAAAGACATCGCTACTGAGCAGATAAACAAAAGTGGATATGAAATGTATTATACAGGAGAAATCACATATCCCTGATTCCAAAATACTGCAACATTTCTGTTCTACCACTGAGTTCATTTCAGTCACCTGGACATCCAGGTGTAAACAGAATATTCATTACCTGCGTATAAAAAAATACAGCAGGTTTGAGAAGCACTAACAGTGATGGAGTACTCAGATCTTTACTTAAGTAAAAGTAGCAATATACAATGTAGAAATACTCTGTTTCAAGTTACAAGTAAAAGTCCAGCAGTCTTAATTTTACTAGTAAGAGTACAAAAATATTAGCATTAAAATATATGAGTAAAATATAATAGTACTAGTAAGTAATTATATTATTAGATAGATAGATAATTATTATGTATTAATGTGTTAATCACTTAAATGTTACTTAAATATAACACCCCACCCACACACACTCCAGCTAAAGTGGATTTCATTTTTATCAATCATTAACAACACAGACAGTTGAAATAAAACAAAAGATTGAGGTAAGCAAAAGAGACCTTTTTTAGTTTATGCCACCACATGTATAACATTCATGAAACTTCAGGTCAGCTCAACTTCCATGCCTATAAGGCATATAAGCTCATATTCCAGCACACACTACATGTATATTGTGTGGGCAGGCCTATCTTTACTACAGGTTTAAATGTGTCTATGCTATGCAGAAATGTTTTACATAGAGCCTAGGAACAGTGATAAGGTTAGTTAGTCTGGGATGGCCCCTTGACTGGCCCCAGCGTTGATTGTCAAAAGTTCATGTTATTACCCGTAACGGCCGCTAAGTAGCGCCACAGAAATATATTTGATTAGGTCTCAAACATGAAGAGGCACGTCTCAATTGGTAGATTTGCAGTTAATATATAGCAAATATCTGACGACATTTACACACACTAAACACAATAACAATCTCTTATTGTTACAATATTTATATTAATAAATACATAACTATATACACTAATTATACATAGCCTATAATTAGACCACATAAATAAAAAAATTTATTATTCTGGATTTAGTCAATTGAGAATCGCGGTTATTATTATTAGGCCTACTCGTCAGTCGTCACTTGTATTTAGGTAATAGCCTAATTAATAAAATCTGCTCACTTGCAAAACATGCATTTATCTAGTGAGCTCTTCTCCTGTCAGCACTGTAGTGTGTGTAGAGCCATGGTCACTTACCGAGCTACTCACACGATGGCAGCAGCAGCAGCTCACAAGCCTCCACTCAGAGTAGTAATTACACTCCCGTGACCCGCCCTCATTTCCCTCTTTCTCCCCGACGGGACCGAGAAATAGTTTATACTTCCTCGGCCCTGCCCTGCGCGCTTCAGTGATGGGGCAGTGAGGATGCCAAGACACGAGAGTCCTGTGAAGACTGTTTTTCATTTGATTCCTCAGCTTTACTGATTCAGCCTTGTTGATTTTAACCTGTTTGTTGCCATGTTGCGGGTTGTAGTAGAGTCGGCTAAAGGTCTGCCTAAAAAGAAACTTGGAAATCCTGATCCATTCACCGCTGTGGTCTATAAAGGTAAGTCTTATTTTAAAAGTTTTATAATGTATTGTATCATAGTTTGCGGGCAGAAAAAACTTGCAGCCTAAAATTTGGTGTTAAAGAAATAAAGTGTCTTGGAACTAAATTGTAACTCTTGATTATACTTTTTTCTAGTATGACTTAATAGTATTTTTTTTTATGGTAGCCCATACAATAGATCAACTAACATACACTAGTGCTACTCTTGTACTTGTGCATTAACTGGAAGCACAATGCACCATTTAGAATTAAGAAAGTTTAGGCTTAAGTATGAGTGTAGCTCCTAACTGCAGTATATTTAAAAACCTCATCAGCTTAAATTGCATTGCACCTTTGAAGACTGTCCCAACATGTCGGAGCATTTCCAGATGCTAAGCTGGGTGGGGACTGTGTTAGGACCTGTAGTATGTACATGAGCTCAGAAGACCATGGTGAAGGCAAATTAGCCTTCAGTCACTGAATTGAAATTAAATCAGACACAGTTCTGTATCAGACACAGAATGGCATTTCCCCCTGAAGAGGAAATGATCCTGGCAATCAGCCCTAGTTGCTCCCAGCTGTTTTCCTTTTACACATGTCATCATCATCACCTGCAGGTGTGACAGATCCCCCCCCCCTTACTGGTGAAGGCAGAAATTTGAGCCCACTGACACCAACATCATGACGCATGTTTAGATAAAAATTCAGATCCAGCAATCACTTTGACAGAAAAACAAATGGGTAAAATATTTTAGGTGTATTCTTAGGTCGGTTAACCTATGTGTGTTATCTTGTGAAATCATGTGCCACAATATTACCACAGGAAGTGGCAAAGAGAAACTGCAAACATTTTTCAATTAATATTCACAAAAAATCATTTCCCTTTCAGATGAGAAGAAGAAAACAAAAACGATTGGCAATGAGTTGAATCCTGTTTGGAATGAGGTAAATCCCTTACACACACAAACACACACATACGGTCAAACATGCAGATATCGCTGGTTCACTCATTTACTTTGATGTTATTTAGAAGATGTCCTCACTTTAAATACATGATATCACATGGTAAATATACTGTGGCAATCATCATGTGACTGTCACAGTAGGGATTGACCATGCCAATAGATTATATGATAGATAAATCCAGGAGTTGGATGTGAATGTTTTGGATTGTTCTTGCTGAGTTGCCAAATCATTATTTGCTCAGGCTATATTCAGTTAAAGGCTCTGCTCTCAGATAAGATGTTGCTTCTTCAGGACATAACAGTAGCTGAAGGTACCATATCTGATGGACTGTGTGTCCCTCATCCTGTCTTGCAGGTGCTTGAGTTTGATCTGAAGGGCACTGGGCTGGACTCTAGCTCCTACATAGACGTGATTGTGAAAGACTATGAAACCATTGGGAAAGATAAGTAAGTGCAACACAGCGCCTGAGCTCCCTGTTAGCTTTGGCTTTATAATTTGTGTAACAGACGGTGGTGAAAGAGAAGCTATGTGCCTCACCTTACTGAATCACAGCTTAAACTTCTTGTCTGAACCAAGAGTCTGAGAAATAATTCTGTTTATTCAAACAGCAGGTTAGCCAACAGTAACTGAGGTGTGTGTGCATCTTTGTCATTTTCAGTTGCTTGGATGTTAGTTTCTTAAAGTTACAATCCAGGTAGCATGAGCTGTTAGTAAGCTAGTCTCAATCTGAAGAGCTTCTAAAGTACCACGACTGAAAAATAGTTGCATAGTTTGCACATGCCAAAGGCTACCACCACTCACTAGTTAGGACGTTTTATTATTAACACTTAACACAGTATATAAGTTTTCATAATATTCCAGTGCTGGCTGTGTCTACCCCCTCACACCCTGCTTGCCATGCTGAGACTTGCTGCGTGGGATGACTGGTTCTGATTGGGCAACAATGGACAGATGAATTGCTGTTTGTCTTCTCTCTCTCGCGCTCTCTCTCTGGGATTTGTGTGTCTTAAAGGAGAATACTTTATGTGGTCGTTAGTTGCCAAACTACATTGTAGCAGTATAATTGCAGGACATACTGCATGTATGAACTGCTTGAATACTATGTGAGGAAGAGGCGCTGTCATGCTAAATGTTTCTAAGTTGCTCCAGAACAGCTCAAGGCTGCTACTTCCAAAAAAGAATCACACATGGGACCAATTTAGGCCAACCACAGAGAATGTTGTCTCTACATCACTAATTACTGCGATCAAAGTCACCTTTGGTAAATACAATACAGCACATGAAAGTGTATTAGTCTTTTTATAATTTATATATCATGATATTTTTTCCCTGTCCATAAGCTTTACCTAGTAAAAGTTTCCGTAGTGCACAGGACAATTGTAACTGAGGGAGGAGCTTTTCGTGTGTGTGTGTGCTTGTTAAATTGAGCAAAGTTTTCCACTGGTCTGGCCCTCTGACACACTCCCTAAAGATCTACACAGTGGGAGCAGAAAAGGGCTTCTCTCTTTCTCTCAAATAGTTTTCCCAGCTGCTATTATGGGTAATCCCTGTCGTCGTGGCAACAAAAGAGGGAACCACAAAACAAAGTTGCGTCTTCTTAACTAATTAGATTTTAGAAAGGATTCAGAAGATAAGACAAAGTTTCCTTGTGTAAATGTCAACGCGGTTGATCATAACATTGAAACTCTGCCTATAGTGCCTAAATCTGCCTAAGTCTACAGCCATGCTAGCAGCTCTGGGGATGTACTTAAGCGCAGCTGTGCTTTGAGCTAAATGATAACATCAGCATACTAACATGCTAACAATAATGTCACTGTTATGCTAAGATTAGCTGGTAATGTTAATGTGCTAGCATGCTAACATTTGTTAATTAGCACTGAACACCAAGTATAGCTGAAGTTGATGGGAATGTTATTAGTTGAACTGGAATTTAGTCACAATGAACACTTTTTGACGTTTTGACCTGATGATGGCGCTCGATGAAAAGTCAGGGGATCACCTAAGTGTCTTACAATTCATTCTCTGGGGTGAAAATGTGGGCCAAATTTCACAGCAATCCATCCAATACTTTGAGATAGGCTATTTCAATAAAAACAAAAATATCAACCTCATGGTGGAGCCAGATGAAAGATCAGGGAAGTCTTTAGGATTCATCCTCTCGGGGGCATGGATGTCTGTACAAGATTTCCAGAAATATAGCAAATATTCGATCTATGTTAACTTTTAAGGACAACGAGATCATTTTACACGCCTTCATCTCATCACGCCTGGATTATTGCAACAGCCTTTTCACCTGTTTAACCCAAAAATCTATTGATCGACTCCAGACTGTCCAGAACTCAGCTGCCAGGCTTTTAACCAGAACAAAGAAATATGACCACATTACTCCTATTTTAGCTTCATTACACTGGCTCCCAGTATGTTTTAGAATTGACTTTAAAATTCTATTGATCACTTTTAAAGCTCTTCATGGCCTCTCGCCTTGTTATATTTCTGACCTTTTAGTCCCATACGCACCAGCACGTACCTTGAGTACTACTAAACTAACTAAACTAAAGGGGACAGAGCGTTTGCTGTCAGGGCCCCGAGGCTCTGGAACAGCCTGCCCGGGGGAAATCAGGTCGGCTGAGTCAGTGAACTCTTTTAAGTCCCTTCTTAAAACATACTTTTATAGGAGAGTCTTTCCCGATCTTATTTGACTTTATTTTATCCCTTTATTTTATTCTATTTTACTTATTTTATATTTATCTTAAACGTGTATTTTAGTCTTTTCAATGTTTTCTTGCTTTTATCTTTGTATTGTTTTTGTATTATTGTCTCTTGGGTATTATTGTCTTTACACTTGTTAAAGCACTTTGTAACTTGTTTTTGAAAAGTGCTCTACAAATATAGATTATTATTATTTATTGGTTAGTAATTGTTGAGAGAATTCAATCTAGATCAAAGTGGTGGACTGACTGGCAGGCTGACATTGTTGTCCCTAGAGCAAAAGGTATCCTGCTTTGCCCAGTATTTGCTTGCTTTTTAACTGAAGCAAGTGTAGCAGAGTTTTTTTTTTTTTTTTTTTTTTTTTTTAACTAAATACAGGGCTGGAGACTTCTAGAAGTCATTGCATGGTTAGTCTTTTGATAACACTAAAATAACAATGAAATGACTACTTAAGTGTTATCATTACCATTAAATGTTTTGCATGAATACATTTGGAATGGTATGGTGAAAACCAGGGTCGCATTCTTCACAGGAGAAGGCTGGAAAAAATTTGACCTCAAATCAGAACTTCCAGTATTGTTTAATTTCCTGTCTCATGAAACGTAGAGCCAGACATGAGTTGGTCTGTCCAAATAACTCACCTATTTTTGACTACCTTGTGTATGAAAATATTTCAGCCTTGCAGTGCAGACAACTCTGTTGATCAATATGAAGCAACAGAAATCAGAGAATCAGGGAACTGTGAAGGCGGATATTCACACCCTAGTCACAGATCTAAGATGAACTGTATTCTTTCACACATCCATCAAACAAATCTGTGAAATCAAATTAATTATGACAGGGAGAAGGTGTTAACTTTTTGAACTGAAGCCCAGGCAACGACGCTCAGGTCTGCTTGTCAGTCCTTCCTCTTCATAGACACAGTAAGCGATCATAGTTTATTTGGCGCACAAATGTGAGAAATTCATCATACCAGGTCATGTGGAAAGTCTGTATCTATATCCAGTAATAACTCCATGCACATAATGTCACCCTGTCTGATTGTGATTGTTTGGATGTGGGGACTTAATCAGCTGAGGTGGGATGTGACTCACCAGGGCTTGACAATGGTCACAGTCTGTTTTGGTCATTCTGTCATTCTTTGGTCAAACTGTGTATTTAAATGGAAAACAATGAGAGTCAAGCATCCATATTCTGTTCACAAAATGTGCAGTACTGGGCTGTAATATGTAATTTGTTCTAATGCCTTACAATCATACTGTGTGACTTAATCTCTTTCATATTTGAATGCTGGTATCAGAATGTCGAGTTAAACACAGGAGTAGCAAAGAGTTTGATACCTTACAATAATTTCGTTTGACTTAATCTCTTTTGTATTTAAATTCTGTTATCAGAATACAGTCAGGCTGCCCACAGAGTAGCAAAATGAAAATTATCTGACTGCCTTCATGAATGGTTTGGAGCCGAATAATGCAACTCCTATGTCATAGGAGAGAGGATGAGGATGTCCCATTCCACCTGAAGCCACTCTTTAAGTCTAATGAAACATTAAATGTTTGCGGAGAAGCCATCGGAAAACTACACACAAGTTACCCAGTCAGAGTTGAGGCTACATACCAGGTTTATATAGTCACTGACTCCCTGGGGAGATGCCAAAACAATTACACTCCATCCTTTCTCCTCCCAACAAAACTCTGCCCAACTATTTGTAGAGTCGCCCTGGTAAGCTGATATCCAGCTGTTAATAAAGAAATCCTGTCTGAGTAACATTGGATTATGTATTTGTCTTAGTTTGCTGTACTTCAGTGGTCTGCAGTATGACTGTATAGTATTAGTATATTTATAGTTTACTTTTTAAATGATATTCATACTTAAATCATGAATGTCAGATGCTTTGTTACAGAGTATAAACACAATCTTATGATCTAATGTTTGTTTAAAGAAATGCTTTCCTGATAGAAGTAAGGTTTGTACTTGGTGTAAATTCAGTCAGCTTCTCATAGCACGGTGGTTGTCTTGTTCCCTGCAGTTTTCTTTTTGACATTTCTGTCCAGGTCAAGTCAATGTTGTTAGCAAAAGGTAAACAAAATACATAATTCTGAATATTTGGGCCCATTTCGAAAGCTTTAATCTCTCGCCAGTCTTGGATGTATCGGATTCGGATGGCTTCAGTGGTGTAGTTGGATCTAGTGTCTGTAGTGAGTTTCCGTCTAGGGGAAAATGCCTCCAGGAACGCTGCCAAAATAATATTACTCAGTCCTCCCAAAGACAGTATACATGATGTACTGCATTCCATTAGCTACATGATGTTACTTTGGACACAATACAGTGAACAATATTTTTTCCATCCAAACTGCGTGCCCGTTTTATTAAGTACACCTAGCTAAAACTGATTTAGTCTACTACAATAATCCTGCAATAAATCCAACCTTGATGGAGGATGCTAAGTTTGTGTTGAAACTGTTCTTCTTCTCTTCTCTAAAACAGTGTGAACAGAAACTGAACATTATAGGTTATTATTGCAAAGCTGTTATATTAGACATCTTTAGTTTTAGCTAGGTGTACCTAATAAACTGGACATAAGTGTGTTTGATCGTATTTGTAATGGTTCAGTGGCAACATTTGAGATCTCTAACACAAATCTTTTTCTTCTCGGAGCCAATATGTTGTTTTCATGTTCACTCATAATTGCTTGAGCGTAAACAAGCTGCACATTTAAGCTGTGTAGTTTTGGCTGCAATACGATAACACCTATAAGCAATAACAAACTGCTTTGGAGCAGGCACGGAGAGACTGCTGAAGATGGTGTACTTGTATAACAAAGGCCAGTATTAATGAGTCCGCTCTCACATGGATAATTTTAGTTTCATTGAATTTTTACCCTTGAAATATCTAAGAAGGTGTAAACAGAGGAATGCGATTTATGCATTTCAAGCCTAAAGCCGCACAGCTTAGTCATTAAAATGTCAATGGTTACTTCATTTCTCAGGAAATGTTATTAACATTCCATAAGGAAAATGTTATAAAACTGCTATAATTTACTCAGCGTATGATACAGGCGGTCGAGATAATGTTTTTGTTATCAGGAAGTGACATTTGTTTTCAGTACTGTCGATTTTACCAGGTAACTGTGTCTCATGAACCTTTTTAGGTTTACCGCACTGGAAACGATAGTTGGATGTCTAGTTTGAATGCTTCCAAATTCCTCCTGGTTCTGTTTTTCATATCTGGCATTAAAATAACCTTTTTAATGGAAAGAATTGGACGAATTAGTTAATTTCAGTTGTCAGATGTTCATTTACAGAAAGATCACTGGCTGGTAGCTTCTGAGCGGCGTTGACTGTATGGCTCATAAGGTGCGTCTGTTTGTCTGAGCAGGCTGGGTTTGTTAGCTCTGGGTGGTGACCTTCTATATTGTCCTTTTGTAAATGTGACTTCACTGAGCACACAGAGTATTGTATTCCAATGTGGTGTGTATTTTGATTACTGACATGTTGGCACAAATACAAATCTATTTCTGTTTCCTGTTTCTTTTCCCCCATCAGATTGATTGGGTCAACCAAAATCTCTTTGAGAGACCTTTCCTCTGGGCAAGTGAGATCACTCCCATCCAGAAATCTTCCTTTGGCCAATGAAAGTGGGCAGAATACTGGAGTAAGTGTCTGTCTTTGTGAACTTAAAAATATAAACAGGAAGGCTATCTTACTTTTTCAAATAAATAAATGAAGTAATAGAACAGGCAATTATTTCCTTCTAGGCTACAGTCAACCTTGTGATTGGCTACGATCCTCCAGCCAGTGCTGTACCAAACCCCAATGACCCTCAAGCAGGAGATGCTACAGTGGATGCTGGTATGTTCATGATGCAGTAAAATGCAGATTGTTGATTAGAGGCATGCCAGGAGTTCATCTTGTTGTTCTGTTGATTAGGTGGTGGTGAGCAGGGGAATGAGACGCTACCAGATGGAGGCCAAAGTAGCTCTGCAGGCATCCCCTCGCCTCCTGGTCAGCCTGGTAAACTCCACCTGCAGATGGCAAGGGGACAGAATCGCTCCCGACTAGCCGATAAACCCCAGGACTTCCAGGTCAGTTTGATGTTGATTGATGATTATCAGTAAAGACCATCAGCACCATAAGGAGGACTGAACCTGTTCTTGTTCAGCTGCAAATCAAAAACTTAAAGCCAGTAAAAGTACGTAATAGGATTTGTTATGCTATGGTTGGTAGAAAAATTTGGCAATCCTGTGAGGGATTATCATTGCTGTCTGCACAGTGATAGAATAACGCTACAATGGATGCTTATGGTTGAGGATAAGAAGATCATAAAAAAACATGATCTCTATTCCTTTTATTACAAAATATGTACTTTTATTATATATATTTATGTACTCTTTGATAGGCTACTTTCATACTTTGTAATCCTTAGGTATGTTTGAAATGGTCTCTTTGAAAGCCTTTGATGGGAAAACAATCAGCAAAAAGTAAAAGGTTTTGCTCCACTTTTAGGATAAAGAACCATTTCCCACCTTAAGATAGTGTGTGTGTGTGTGTGTGTGTGTGTGTGTGTGTTTTTTAAATTTAGGTTAGTTTCAGTATTACCTCCGCCAAGAGGAAGGGTGTAGGACGGACCAAGGATTTCATAAATCACGGGGACAGACTGTCAACAGAAATGATTTTTCACTTTTGTTATCATTGCGAGATAGGATTTGCATATCATAGAAGACTGGACCATTTGCGTTAGCGGAGGTCTGCGCTCTGAGTGCCCATCTAGTTTCTAGCTAGATTAGGTTTAATTTTACAATGTATTTAAATAAACGGAGGTGCTCTTAGTTAGAACCAGGTGCTCTCATACTGTCATCATTTATTTACGTTCATCCACGCTGAAAAAATGTTTTTCAGATTCGTGTCCGGATCATTGAGGCCCGTCAGTTGCCTGGCAACAACATCAAACCAGTGGTGAAGGTTCATGTGTGTGAACAGACCCATAGGACAAGGATCAAGAGGGGAAACAACCCCTTCTTTGATGAGGTAATCTTACTTCGCTCTTGTACAGTGAGACAATAGATGAACTGATTTGAAATGGAAATAAAATGTTTCTTTTGATTCTATTTATTGCACGTAAAGAAAGTTGAGTTTTAGAGCTAAGCCAACCAAAACTTGTGCCTAGGAGGTCCAGTTCAAATGTTTTATTTTGTCTATTGTCATTGAAACTTTCATGATTTACCTTTTTTGTATTTTCACAGATGTTCTTCTACAATGTCCACATGCTACCGTCAGATCTATTTGATAAGCACATCAGCTTCCGGGTCAGTACACAAATGTTGATTTTGAGATCCTGGCCTCTCTCTCTCTCTCTCTCTCTCTCTATCTCTCTCTCTATCTCTCTATCTATCTATCTCTCTATCTATCTATCTCTCTATCTATCTCTCTCTCTATCTCTCTATCTCTCTATCTCTCTATCTCTCTATCTCTCTATCTCTCTATCTCTCTATCTATCTATCTATCTATCTATCTATCTATAAACAAACAAACAAACCAGGAATTGTTTCACTCTCCTTTGCAGATCTATAATTCCTATTCACTGAGGGCTGACAGTCTCATGGGAGAGTTCAAGGTACCTGATTTAATTTAGTCATAATTGTAAATATCTCAGTGTTTGGTGAGTCTGACTGATTTGTTTTTGTTCTCTCACACAGGTGGACATTGGTTATGTTTATGATGAACCAGGTAAGCTTGCTTGTAGTGGTGAACCCACAGATAATTAAAGGTGCTACGGAGCTCTTTAGCTTCTTTCAACTTGGTTTTGGTGTTCCAACCTGCAATTATAGTATCGTGGTTCACGTTCACTGCTCAAATAGTATAGTTTTCAGCTGCAGCATGCAATTGGTGACCAGCTTGTGAACATAGTTTAGTGTTAAGCTAGCAGCTATACAGTCAGACATAGTTATTTTTCAGAAGTCTGTGGAGTAGAAACACAACTCCATAATGTTCCCGCTTTTTAACATTGATATTAAAATTTGGTTAATATTTTATTTATGAAAATGACTTTGAGAGGGGAGGGAATGAAATGGGGGGGAAAAAAATTCAGGCCCTGTGTGCACACAAGCACTTGTGAAGTGCTTTTCATTTACCCATACATTTCTACCTGATGGTGCTGTCTCTGACTCTGTGTACTAAAGTGGTATATTCACGTGTGTCTCATATTGCAGCCCACTGTATCATGAGGAAGTGGCTCCTGATGAATGACCCAGATGACTCTAGCTCTGGGGCTAAAGGCTACCTCAAAGTCAGCCTCTTTGTAGTGGGGACTGGAGATGAACCTCCGGTACGACTGACAGAAAACAGCTCTTATATAACTTGCACTGGCTGCTTCCTCTTTCCTCATAAATATGGTGGGTGTGCTCCTTGATCTCTTCTCACTGACACTATTCTGTTCTTTGTATCTAATGTAGAGAGAGAAAAGGGACTCAAATGATGATCAGGATGACATAGAGAGTAATCTGCTGCTGCCAGCTGGTGTGACTCTGCGATGGGCCACCCTATCACTGAAGGTGTTCAGAGCTGAGGATGTTCCCCAGAGTAAGACTAGCTATTATAGTTATTTCATTTGTAACAAATCAAATTGTAAGTTTAGCTTGTTTAGCCCATTTTATGGCTGCTAAAAAAGATGACGACAAAATACAGAATAAACTATGATGGATTATTGCATTCTTTTCTCATTGCAGTGGATGATGCATTCGTCCAAACCATGAAAGAACTTTTTGGAGGAGATGAAAACAAGAAGAATTTGGTGGATCCCTTCTTAGAGGCTTCATTTGCTGGCAAAAAGGTTCCTGCTCATATGTATATTTTTAGCTACAGTGTTAAATGTTAAAAATGCAGGATATGACATTACTGTGTAATAAAAGAAAAGTTTGTGTGTTTTTTCTGTCTCTCCAGCTGTGTACTAAGATCATTGAGAAGAATGCAAACCCTGAATGGAACCAAGTGCTGAACCTCCAAGTAAAGGTAGGAGGTCCTAAAGATGGAAAGCTGTATTTTAATTTGGCATGAAAGTAAGACACCATGAATTCATTTAATAGACTCGCTTTTTTAAAGCTCTTTCTTGTGTTTCCTGTAGTTCCCCTCCATGTGTGAGCGTGTCAAACTGACGGTCTTTGATTGGTAAGCTGAACAAGATTGTGCTTTAGAGATTTTTGCCTGTGTCATTTTGTGTTCAAGTACAGGCGGTGTTATTTTGAGTGAGTTATTTGGGGTTGAGAAAGTATCCCACAATATTTCTGCAGTGTGGTCAGCTGTGCTGTGTTTCTCCATGCCCCATCACCAACCACATGAGAATAATGTAAGCAGCCTGCGACTCAGGCTGTGTAGCACCCTCCCTTACCCTCAGTAACATGCTTTGGGATCCTGTTGGCACCGTCTCTCAGCTAATTGTTTTCATTTATTATTGTGCGTTTCTGAGTGAACAGAACAGTCTGATAACTCAGGTTCAGGAAGGCTGAAGGGAAATAAGTGCAAGAGGAAAAGTTGAGGAAAGAGGAAAAACTGTGTGCCTCAGAAGGTGTTGAAAACACACTCTTAGATTCAAGGAAGTACCATGGAATTGGAATGCAAAACAATGTACCTCAACTATGCATATAATGGGCTTTATATGCATAGTTGCAAGTTTTTCAAATGCCATGGCACTTCCTCCACAGAGGTATTGAAAAGGCAGAACATAACAATACGCCTACATTGTGAAATGTGCATGTTATTTAACAGTTAATCGCACATGTTTGTGCAGTGTGAGTCTTAAGGTGCCGAGTGTGATTGCAGGGATCGTTTGACAAGAAATGATGCTGTTGGCACCACATACCTGAACCTGGCCAAGATAGCCTCCTCTGGTGGAGAAATAGAAGGTATTATTTTTGGATTTTTAAATAAAAAAACAAAAAGAACATTTTTGCTTGAAATAGTATCTTATAAGCTTGGATATTTAGTGAAAACCACAGTACAGAGGTTTCATAGCCTTTGCCTTTCACCTAGATAAAATATATCATAGTATAACTAAACATCTTATTTACGGTTGAAAACCATTGTTACTCTTATGTGCCTGCTTTGTATTAACTTCTAAATGGTGCTTGAATTGTCCTTTTTCTAGAAAAACATGCGGGAAATCCGGAAATACCGTCATTTGAAGGTTCAACAGTGCTCTTTGTTGCTCTGTGTTGCATGACATGTAATGCATTTAAGCATGTTGTGCACACTAAATTGCTCAATAAGTGAAATTCTGTATGTGCACATTACTAATAAAGCTGTGCTGTGCTCTGTTTTGACATTTAACCGTTTACCGTTTTGTTGTCGTAGTGCCTGCCACTCGCTTGCCCAGCATTCACTGTTTCCACCGCAGTCTGTCCATCACCACCGTCTCAAAAAACAGCAACACTGACATACTAACATTAAAGCTTGGCTTAGCCTAGCTGGAGCATAATCATAAAGAGATTAAGCCTCTCGTATTTCCATCTCTCCACAGCTACCACAGGTTCGTCTGAAGTGGGTTTCCTGCCTGTCTTTGGGCCCTGCTACATCAACCTGTACGGCAGCCCCAGAGAGTTCACCGGCCTGCCAGACCCCTATGAGGATCTCAATTATGGCATGGTAGGGGACAAGACTTGGAACAATTTTAATCTTCTCTTCTGCCCCTGTCCTACATTCATTGGTTCATATCAATGTATTCTGTTTACAGGGAGAAGGAGTGGCGTACAGGGGCAGGATCCTGGTTGAGCTGTCCACTAAGCTAGATGGCAAAGCAGACAAAACAGTTGACAGTATTAGCAGCGATGACATCCTGGTGGTGCAGGTATTGTGACTATTTAAGCTCTGACTAATACCTGACCCATAGTTCAGTGTGACCAAAGTGTGGTTTCAAGATTCGGGACAAGGTGTGACGAGCAGTTAGGGAAGTGTATTAAATGGGTAGGCTATACATAGAATGTGGTTAGCTCTCTTTTCTATACAGACCTTGTTGATGTTCCTTAAAATGTCTGTACATAAAGTGACACTACATTTTAGTTGGTTAAAATATGTTATACTTCTCTCTCTTCTTTCTCTCTTCCATTTTCTTCTCGACATCAGAAGTACCAGAGGAGGAGGAAGTATTGTCTGTGTGCAGTCTTTCACAGCGCCTCCATGATACAGGAACCAGGAGAGCCAATCCAGTTTGAGGTCAGCATCGGTAACTATGGCAACAAATTGGACACCACCTGCAAACCACTGGCCTCCACCACTCAGTACAGCTGTGCTGTATTTGATGGTGAGTGAGGAAGCTACTGTCTGATGTGATACCTTCACTAGCAAGGACCACGCCACAACAATTTGTCATTTAAAGGTTTAATGAAAGTTCGTAATGTATAGATGATAAAGGACAGGCGGGACAGGGTGATGGAGAAAGAAGGATGTTGTCTGATGGTCTGGGAGAATGTACAGAAGAGGGGAATAGGAAGGGTTTTGGGGGATGAAGGGAGGAGAGGATTAGTGGATGTGTGTAGGGATGAAGAGGAAAGGGAGGGTGGGTTGAGCAATCTGACACAAACTGGGCAGGCTGAGTAGAACATGTATAGATTGGTTTGACAGGTGATTTGAGGTGTGGCCCCACTCCCAAACCTAATTTAACTTAATTTTTTGAAAAACTGCTTGCTTAAGAGAATTCTTAATTTGCGTATAATCTTTCTAGGTAACCACTATTATTACCTGCCCTGGGCAAACACTAAGCCAGTGGTGGTGGTTACCTCATTCTGGGAGGATGTCAGCCACCGCATGGACTCGGTCAACATCATCCTCCACATTACTCACCGCCTGGTAATACTGCATTATCTTGTTATACTCAAACTTTGATTGCTTTACACTCAGAGTTCATGATTTATTGCCCATGGTTTGCAGCCATTAAAGCGTACTGCATTGTACAGATGTTTGGTACGTGTTTCTGTATGTGCGAGTGTGAGAATCATTAGATCTAATCCTCACCTCTATTTTGCTGTTGCAGCAATCCAACCTCGATGAATTTAAAATAGCCATCTTGGCAAAAGTCCCTGACAACCAGCTTGTAGAGGTGTGGCTGAAGTTGCTTACTGAGCTGATTGAAGACCTAGAAAGGTAAATGGAGTTGGTGTTTCTGGAAAAATAACATAATCTGTGTTGTCTATGAATCTTGTAATGGAATAAAATGTCTGACAAAAAGTGTGTTCAGTTTTACAAAAGAAAAGAGCCAATAGTGGTAATTAGTAGTAAACCCATAAGGGATTTAAGAGTTTACTGGGTAATTTGTGTATTGTTTAGTCCCATTTTGCCTATGCTTTCCCACAGTTTCACAACACCTGAGCTGGAAGGCCGCTCCAACCTGACTTCTTTGGACATCCAAATCAAGAAGCTGCGAGACAGCGCTTTGGCCACAGTCAAGGACGGAGCCAGACACATGAGAGAGGAGGCCAGAGAGATCCGTGACACTGTGTCTGACATAGAGTCCTGGGTGGACAAACTTGCACTGCTGGCTGAGGAGGTACGTACACAGCAATGATTTTTAACAATATAAAATCCTTAAACAACATTTTCTAACATGACATACAGTCAGTTTTCTTCAATAGCCGTGGCCTCCCTTTGATTTGGTACTGCAATGCATCATATTGTTTGGTTTGCATTTGTTCACAAGTTTTTACCATCACTGTGTCCAGCCCCAGAACAGCATGCCTGACGTGATCATCTGGATGTTACGGGGTGAGAAGAGGGTGGCCTACAGCCGCATCCCCGCTCACCAGATACTCTACTCCACACACAGTGAGCAGGCCTGCGGTCAACACTGTGGCAAGACACAGACTGTCTTTTTAAAGGTATACATCTGCAGTCAATCAAAAAAAAGATAAAGGAACGGTTTAAAAGTTCATTTTAAACTCCGGGTTTTTTTTTCTTGTCCCTCTCAGTACCCCATGGACAAGAACAAGGGCTTAAAGGTGCCAGTTCAGATCAGAGTCAATATGTGGCTGGGTCTGGCTGCACATGAGAAGAAGTTCAACTCCTACTCTGAGGGAACCTTCAGCGTATTTGCTGAGATGGTATATCACTCCAAAATCTCTCACAATAAAAAAATAAATAAAAGCATGTGCTTCTCCATATTCACAAAGTATTGCTATAGATTGTTAAATATTTTAGGATTACTCAGTCCCAGCATCTTAAACTAAACATGTCCTCCTTTGCGTTATAGTACGAGAACCAGGCCCAGGTGTTTGGGAAGTGGGGGACCACAGGACTGGTGGGGCGCTACAAATACTCAGACGTAACGGGCAAGCTGAAGCTGAAACAAGAGTACTTCATGCCCCCAAGAGGGTGGGAGTGGGAAGGTGACTGGTTCATTGACCCAGAGAAAGCGTGAGTATAATTGTAGATGACGTTTTTGGCATCCTCTCTCCTCTGAAATGCAAAACATTTGACCAAGAGGAAGACTTTGTGATGTGATATTTTCAGATTCAGACTAGTTAAATTATTTTATGGGTTGAATGTGTGTTTTCCCTATCGAACACACACATTCTGTGGACTGTAGAGGAAGTGGGCTACGTTCGCTCTCTACTGTTTGCATTCCTCTCATGCCATTGACCACGATTTAAGTACCAGGCTGTGCCAGTAAGCTGGAAGTTATTTACACTTCATCTACCTCTGTCTGTGTATATATGAAAAGTAAAAATGCCTATGCGGAGCATCAAGAGGAACACACACTTTGACAGCTTGATTTGTGTAAAGTTTTTGCTCGAACGGGTAACAGTTGGGTTACTCCCCACATGTAAACACAGTCACTGTCAAAACAAGCACAACGTTCCTTCTCTTTCACGCTGTCATTTTTGCATGCGTTGGTGTTTCAATGTTTTTTTGTTTTTTTTTTACATATTACCACCGTAATGTGCCAAATTTCATGCAGATATGGCACGTATGTTTGACTTTATGTTCCAGTCTGTTAACAGAGGCAGACGCTGGACACACTGAATTCATGGACGAGGTGTTCCAAAATGAGGCTCGCTTCCCTGGTGGAGAGTGGAAGGCGCCCTCTGAGCCCTACACTGATGTGGTGAGAACAGCACCGCTGACATGCAAATAATGTGCAGGGTGGCTATAAACAAAACAAGTCCTTGTTTCTGTGACATGCAACACAAAAAGATGCATGAATGTCACACAGACCCACACACCTTTACTCCATTTGTTCTCCTTCATTATTTCACTCAGCTTTCCTTCAGATGTCTATGGCGGAGGAGTTATCTATAACATATCTAATATTTGAGTAGGCAAAACACATATTAAACACAAATTAAAAAAATGAACTTGTGCAGCTAACAGTTTGTCTTGTTGTTGCACAGAATGGAGAGAAGAGCCGTAGCCCTGGAGAGTTTGATTGTCCTCCAGGTTGGAACTGGGAGACTGAGTGGAGTGTGGATGACAACAGAGCTGTGGATGATCAAGGTGCAGACATTTATCTAAGCAGATAAAATTTGGATGAAACCATACGTTATTGTATCCAAACTATAATCAAATTAAGTAAAATTTTTTGCGGGCATGTGTGTGTGTGCACACTCTACAGGCTGGGAGTATGGAGTCACCATCCCGCCAGATGACAAACCTCGGTCCTGGGTCTCTGCGGAGAAGGTGTATCACATCCACCGCAGGAGAAGGCTTGTTCGACCTCGCAAGAGAGTTGCAGTCCCTGCAGGAGCAGTTGCGGAGGTCAGCATAGGACTATAGTGCAGTATTACAGTGTATAAACTGTAGCTTATTTGTATTTTGATGCCATATCCATTTTTTATATCATAAACTGCAAAACACAGTTCTGATTATGTTGTTAAAGATTAAGAGACAGATATCCAGGTATTTCTAGATACCAGAATTTATTATTTAATCTAATGCCGATTGTTTCATTTTCTCTGATTGACTCATTTAAAATATAAATTGCAATCCATGTTTATTTTTGCCCATAGAGGCGGAACCAAGGTGACCCTGAGGGTTGGGAATTCTCTTCTCTGATTGGCTGGAAGTTCCACCAGAAGGAGCGTTCATCGGATACCATTCGTCGTAGGCGCTGGAGACGGAAGATGGCACCAGAGGGACGGCTCGGCGCATCCGCCATATTCCAACTGGAGGGGGCGTTGGTGAGTAAAAAGGGAAAATAAATGTTTTATTCTGGCTTGAATCTGTCAGGATCTGGCTTCCAAAAGTCAGAATGCAACATTAAAGTAGGAAGGGCTGGCATAAAAGTCCGTACCAGATCTGAGCTCACCAAATATTTCCAAATATTTACTTATGTATTTAACACATCTATGGCGTGTGTTTATTTGGCAGTGTGTGAGACACATGAACAGTTAAAAAGCTCTGAGATGTTTACTCTGCAGGGTGTTGATATTGAGGAGAAGGAGAAAGGCTCCAAGGCCGATGCCAACAAAGCTGATGCCACCAAGCTGTTTGGGGCCAACACGCCCACTGTGTCCTGCTCCTTTGAAAGTGAGTGATGCATACAGTGACACACATGAATGATCATCAACATAAAAAGAAATATACTGAATAATGTATTTTTCTCCCCCTACAGGGTCACATATGTACCATCTCCGTGTCTACCTTTATCAGGCACGGAACTTGACATCTATGGACAAGGATAGTTTTTCTGGTAAGATTCTACTCGCTGATCAAAAATATTATTAAATTAAATTTAAAATGTCAACATTAAGACTCCAGATTTCAAGTCTTGCATTTAATATTAAATGAGTCACTTTGCAAAAAATAATGTTGGATGTGAAAACATGAACATTAAACCTATTTATTTTCCCTCACAGATCCGTATGCATACATCTCCTTCCTGCATGTAAGTAAGACAACAGAGAAGCTGTCAGCAACACTGAACCCCACTTGGGATCAAACACTGATTTTCAGTGACGTGGAGATTTATGGAGACCCCCAGAAGATTGCTCAACGGCCCCCTAATGTTGTAGTGGAGTTCTATGACTACGACCAAGTGGTAGGTTGTGCCAGATTTACATATAAAAAGCATTTTTACAACTAATTTGCATATAGGGAAAATTAAATATCACTTGCATATTTCTCTGGGAAATGTAAATTGACACAAAAAATAATTTTGAAGAAAATCTCCCAAGCAGAAAAATGCCCATTGGATCTCTGCTGGTCTTGAGATTCAAGTTTGACTTTCATAGTATGAGCGGTCTTGAAAATAAATGTCTGTCTTTAACTTCATCCTATCTATGTCCACCTTTCCTCTACACTCTTATAGTTGAAACTGTAATGTGTTTTTTTAAACCTCTGTTTTTGTCTAATTTCCTTTTTTGTATTCATTTTTAGTATACATAATCTACAAATTAGAACTGTTTATAAATTAGTAGGTTAACTCAGGTTAATTTGCCTCAAATGAGAGCATCAACTAAAGGCATAAAAATATACCTGTGACATGTTACCTTCTGCCCAGGGGAGGGATGAGCTGCTTGGCCGCAGTGTTTTCCTGCCACTGGTGAAGTTGAATCCAGGCATGAATGAGACTCCCAAACTGCTATGGATCCCCATCATGCAGAAAGGAAACAAGGCAGGGGAGGCACTGGTGGCTGCTGAACTCATCCTCAAAGAAAAGGTTTGCCCTAAAAGTAATGGAGAATAAGCTGCTTTACTGTATTTAATACCCAACTATGTTCGCTAGGTTACAAATGGGATATAGCATGTGAAGTAACTGGTAAAGGTCTCTCCTGTCTCTCTCTCTCTCTTCGTAGACGGGCGATTCAAATCTTCCCCTGATGCCCCCAAAGAGAGGAGAGAAACTCTACATGGTTCCTCAGGGCATCCGACCTGTGGTGCAGCTCACTGCTGTGGAGGTAATGCACAACTTTAGACACTGTCCCTCTGAGCTAATGCACATAATGTCTCTAAATCCTGTCTGTGTGTGTCTCTGTATCCAGATTCTAGCATGGGGCCTGAGGAACATGAAGACGTACCAGCTGGCAGCAGTGTCTTCACCCAGTCTGGTGGTGGAGTGTGGGGGTCAGAGGCTGGAGTCAGCTGTCATCAAGAACATGAAAAAGAGCCCAAACTTCCCCAGCTCTGTCCTCTTCATCAAAGTGGTAATGGCGAGGTTACACGTGTGTGTGTGTGTGTGTGTGTGTGAGAGAACTTAAAGCTATTAAACAGGGGAAGTAATAGTATAAGCCAAAATCAAATTATTATGAAAAATATGTAAATCTTCTGCACTTGGTAAGTCTTATAGCTTTTACACAATACTGTAAACTCCCAATACAATTATTATTATTATTTTTTTTTTTGTCTCTACACCTGCCATCCAGCTCCTACCAAAGGATGAGATGTACACACCTCCCATTGTGCTTAAGGTGATCGACCACCGTCCATTTGGCAGGAAGCCTGTGGTGGGTCAGTGCACCATCACTGCTCTGGAGGATTTCAGATGCGACCCATATGTCGTCACTGCAGAAGGAGCCATGTCTTCCAAAAGTAAGGAGGCAAACGTAAGAATATTCTGATTCAGTTAAAACGGAGACAAAACAAACTAAAACTACTTCTAATATTGTCTTGACCCTATCCACAGTGCATCTGATGGCCTCCCCTTCCAAACACGTGTCTATTAAGATGGATGAATCAAGACCACTGCTAGAAGCTCAGGTAAAATCTACCTCTGTACCACCACATAACATATTCCTCATGTTGTTCGTAAGTGGTATTCTTCTTTCTAATACACACATTAAGTTCCATTTTGTCACTAAGAAGTGCTAAGAAGTTGTCAAATTTGACAAACCTTATTACTCTGGCTTGCAGTTCATGTACAGCATGTCAGCTGCTGTCAACAAAATGGCTTCCCCTACCTCCTACTTTGTATGTATGGTTACTTTATTATAGCTTTCTGATTTGCAAGGCTGGGCACCAATGACACTGGATGGCTGAGATCACTTAATCCACAATGCTACAGCAAGCTTGACAAATGCCTTAATGTCATTACTTTGTGGAAATTGTCAAAATAACAGCGATTGTACTTCATTTAATTGGCACAAATTTAATGAGCACATTTTCATTTTCATAGCAAGGGCGTAACATGTAAATGGGCCCTGGAGCAAATTAAGCTCCAAAGCATTCGCTTCACATGGGAGCTGATTTTGTTATTGAACTATCACTGCCATGATGTGGCTGGAAATAGAGTTTTAAATATTCAACTTAAAGCAGAAGTAGGACATTTTGGGAAATGTGCTCATTTAAAGGAGCTATATGCCACATTCACTGCCAGAAAAGGAAGAAAAAAACAAAAAGGCGCTACAGCCCACCAGACTCCATTGAGGAAAAATAGCAATTTTACCTGGAAGATGATTGTAGAGGTTGGCGTCTGTGGATCTGAGGTTGTGGGTGAGAATATGACAGTGTAGGAGGTCAGTGAGGTAGGAGGGGGCAAGGTTACTGAGAGCTTTGTAGGTGATTAGGAGGATTTTAAACGTGATTCTGTGTTGGATAGGTAGCCAGTGGAGGTTTTGGAGGACTGGAGTGATGTGGTCCCTGGTGCTGGAGTGAGTGAGTAGAAAGGCAGCTAGGTTTTGGATGTATTGGAGTTTTTTTTTTTTTTTTTTTTTTGAGGAATTTGGTGGATGTACCGTACAGAATGCTGTTTCAGTAGTGCAGTTGTGAGGTGATGTATGCTTGGATGATGGTTTCAGCAGCTAAAAAGGAAAGGGAGGGTTGAAGATGGGCAATATTTTAAAGATGTAAGAATACAGATGGTCAGGAATTATACTGATACCTCACATGTGCCATACAAGAAATATCACAAAGCAATCAATTCTGTGTTGTGAGAGAAAGGATAGTTCTTATTCTTTGGATTTACTTTTACTAAAGTCAAGATTGAAAACCTTACAGTGGTCATGATCAAGCAGGACCTCTGGGTCTAAAAAGTGAACCCAATGTGGAAGTGCCTTACACCTGCGTTGTTTTAATGGCTGGCAGGGGGCAACTACCGTTGGAGGCATAGCAATACTTATCCCTCCCAAGCTCCACCCTCTCATCCAAATATGTTGACTTCTGGTTCCCAAAAAAACGTCGGAAGTCTACAAACCAATGGGTGACATAACGCTGGCTACGTCCACTTCGGTAATACAGTCTATGGTCATAATTCAAAGCCAGGTTTTATTCATGGCAGGCATGAATACCGCTAAACTACCGGTGCCATGTTGCAAGTGAACGGACAAGCGGAATTAGTGGGCCCCCCGGAGGTCCAGAACTCTAATGCGGTTGCCCATTCTGCACATTACCTTTGTTACGCCCTTGTTTTCAGATTGGCTGTCAATTGTGAAATTGCCACTGGGATCTCCTTTTCAACCTTTCCTTTACCATCATTCCCTGTTTCTCTTTCTTGTCTGTATGTGTGTTTTTGCATTTGTTACTGATATGTGTATGTACTTGTGACTTCTCTTCTTTTTTTTCTGTCTCCAAAGCACGCAGAAAAGGTGAGAGTAAACAAGGGAATGTGACTTAAGATTTCAGATTCTTGTACCAAATGCAGAGAACAATATATATGAAGATTAAAATTGTCCAATTCAATCTTCAGGAGAAAGAGACAGTCGATTGGTGGAGTAAATTCTACGCTTCAACTGGAGAGCAGGAGAAATGCGGCCCTTACCTCAAAAAAGGGTATGACACCCTGAAAGTAAGTTGGCTGTGTTTCTTCCCACACGATATATTTAACAATTCGTCTTTGTGTTGTTGTGTCGTGGCTGTGTAAGTAATGATCAACACTAAATGCTTCAAATTGTACAGGAGCTTTCCCCTGAGCTGCGTATGACTTGAATGTGACTGTGTATTCTCAGGTGTATGACTGTGAACTGGAGGATGTCCCAGACTTCAAAGGGCTGACTGATTTCTGCAACACCTTCAAACTGCTGCGAGGCAAGAATGAAAATGGAGATGACGACCCCACTGTGGTTGGAGAGTTTAAGGTAGTAGTACAAAAAATTTACTTCTGAAATGCTACAGAATAGAAACTAAAGCTATTAAACGAGCTAAATCTCATTTGCTCAGGACTAAACCAAATTCTTAAAAGGTATTAAAGACAAAAAGTAGAATCAGATCTGTGTTCTTGTACCTGCAGGGTTCATTCAAGGTGTACCCTCTACCAGACGACCCAGGTGTTGCTCCTCCTCCCCGTCAGTTCAGAGAGCTGCCAGATAGTGGACCTCAGGAGTGTCTGGTCAGGATCTATGTCGTCCGGGGCATTGACCTGCAGCCCAAAGACAATAATGGCAGTGTGAGAATTCATCTGTTTTAGCAGCAATAAAAGCAGCAGATTCACACACTGCCCCAGTCCGCACCTTCTGCTTCAACTTGTGTTCTCTCTCCTGCTCAGTGTGATCCATACATAAAGATATCACTGGGAAGGAATACAATTGACGACCGAGACCACTACTTACCCAACACCATCAACCCTGTGTTTGGAAGGTAAACACTACGAATGGACACATTTAAGCAATGGATAATTTAATATAGATCACATTATCCTTAGAGGATGAATGTAAAATCCAGTGCACCTTCTCGCTAATCAAACACATCCCTTTGTTTAGGATGTTTGAGATGACGTGTTTCCTGCCCCAGGACAAGGACCTGAAAATCTCTGTCTATGACTATGATCTCCTGACCCGTGACGAGAAGGTTGGCGAGACAGTGATTGACCTGGAGAACCGCTTCCTGTCCAGATATAACTCCTACTGTGGCCTGCCACAAACCTACTGCATGTAGGGAAATCTTGGTGTGGGCAAACTAAGGGCTGATGGGGAAATGAATACATATTAATAATTTTAAAAGCAAGCAGAATTAATCTGTCTCCTATCTTTCCATCTTAGTTCTGGTATCAACCAGTGGCGGGACCAGCTGAAGCCATCTCAGATTCTGGAGAACTTGGCTCGTCTAAAAGGCCTGTCCAAACCCATTAGTGAGGACAACGGCACCTCTCTCAGCTTCAATGGCAAAGATTACACGCTGGATAACTTTGGTAATACCAAATTTTTAAGAAGAAATTGTGTAAATTAGTTAGTCTAAATATGATTGTTCTGTTGTTTAGTGAGAGGGAGTTACATTTCACATCAATGTCAGGTACAATGGTTTGCAATCAGTCATTAAGTCAATTTATTCTGTATACCCTTTGCAAGTTATAGGGGCCTGCTGTTCGTTTACAGTTTTTTCCTGGAATATAATATAAGCAAGCTGTGAGTTGACAATGCTGACATAATGATGTTGGGTATACTAATTACCATTGTTCACCATCTTAGTTTAGCATGCTAACATTTGCTATTCAGCACAAAGTAGCTAAGGGCTGATTGTAATTAGTTTTGCAGATATTTGGTCGTAAATCAAAATATTGGACGTATTAAAATTCTGACCTGAAGATACAGTACCAAATTTTATGGCAATAGGTCTGGACATATTTTACTAAAAATGTTTTTAAAAGTCACCCTCATAGTAGTGGTAAAGTAAAAATCAGGAGGATCACAAAGGTCATCTTTCTTCTGGGTGACCATGAATGTCTGTGGAGACAATTTGGTCTTAACCAAAGTGGTGGATGGACATGCCGACGTCATCCCTACAGCTATGTTGTCAATTCTAAAAATAGTAACTTCAGAATATAGTCATGTGCTACAGGGCATAAAAACAGGCTATTGCACTGTTGAATATAACAGAATCTTGTGGTTTGACTGCTTGACATTTTGACTGAATCTTTTTGCCGCATCTAATTTGACCAATTATAATACATTCACCGGCCACTTTATTAGGTACAACTGTTCAATTGCTTGTTAACACAAATAGCTTATCATCCAATCACATGGCAACAACTCAATGCATTTAGTCATGTAGACGTGGTCAAGACAACTTGCTGAAGTTCAAACCAAGTATCAGAATGGGGAATAAAGGGGATTTAAGTGACTTTGAACGTGGCATGGTTGCCAAACAGGCTGAACCGAGTATTTCAGAAACTGATTATCTACTGGGATTTTCATGCCCAACCATCACTAGGGTTTACAGAGAGTGGTCCGAAATAGAGAAAATATACAGTGAGTGGCAGTTGTGTGGACGAAAATGCCTTGTTGATGTCATTGGAGAATGGATAGACTGGTTCGAGAAGACAGAAAGGCAACAGTAACTCAAATAACCACTCGTTACAACCAAGGTATGCAGAATACCATCTCTGAATGCAGAGCACGTCAAACCATGAAGCAGATGGGCTACAGCAACAGAAGACCAGAGTGCCACTCCTGTCAGCTAAGAACAGGAAACTGAGGCTACAATTTTCAGTCACACCAAAACTGGACAATAGAAGATTGAAAAAAATGTTGCCTGGTCTGATGAGTCTCGATTTCAGATTTTATTCAAAATTTGGTGTAAAAAAACATGAAAGCAGGATCCATCCTGTCTTGTATCAACAGTTCAGGCTGCTGGTGGTGTAATGGTGTGGGGGATATTTTCTTGGCACACTGGGCCCCTTAATACCAACTGAGCATGGTTTAAACGCGACAGCCTACCTAAGGATTGTTGCTGACCATGTCCATCCCTTGATGGCTACTTCCAGCAGGATAATGCACCATGTCACAAAGCTCAAATAATCTCAAACTGACAAATGAGTTCACTGTAGTCCAATGGCCTCCACAGTCACCAGATCTCAATCCAATAGAGCACCTTTGGGATGTGGTGGAATGGGAGATTCAGATCATGGATGTGCAGCCAACAAATCTGCAGCACTTGCGTGATGCTATCATGTCAATATGGACCAAAGTCTCTGTGGAATAATTCCAACACCTTGTTGAAAGTATGCCACGAAAAATTAAGGCAGTTCTGAAGGAAAAAAGGGGTCCAACACAGTACTAGCCAGATGTACCGAATAAAGTGGCCGGTGAGTGTTAACATAATTAACTAATTAACCTATAACATGTTTCCACATCCAGAGAACAACAAGGAAATTCATCAGCACATGGGACCGCCCTATGAACGACTCTGTCTGCATGTACTCAGGAAACAGGGACTTGTCCCTGAACATGTAGAGACCAGGACCCTCTACAGCACCTTTCAGCCTAATCTCTCTCAGGTCAGATGTCACAGCTCACACATACTATATCCACAATTGTCCACATCCATCCTGACACGGCTATTTTGTGAAACCTGTATATTGTGATGATTTTAGGGAAGCCTTCAGATGTGGGTGGATGTTTTCCCCAAAAGCATTGGCCCCCCTGGACCTCCATTTGAGATCACGCCACGCAAGGCTAAGAAGTAAGTGCTGTGCAGCTCTTTGGCACTTCGTCACTGGGCACATCAAATGCTACTGAGTTAATGTTCACTTTAATTGAACGTTCAGGTATTTCCTGCGGGCTGTCATCTGGAATACCACAGATGTGACTTTAGATGAGACCAGCATCACAGGAGAACGCATGAGCGACATCTATGTCAAAGGGTATGACTAATGAATCATCTAAATTAACTCTGGCCTCTGAATTAAATATATACTGTTTGACTTTGCTGATGGATTCAAGACTTTTTGTTCAGATCTTTATTCATTTTTGTAGGCTTGCCTTATGATGCTGTTTCTCACCAGTAGCCATTTCTGAAATCTTTGAACTGATTTACATTGATTTTATTTAATTCTTCTAAAAGCCAAACTGTATAGATGAAGGCTACTGTGGAACCTATTGGGACAGGACAATGAACGCTCACACCTGTTGTTCCTTTTGCCAGCTGGATGCCAGGAATGGAGGAGGACAAGCAGAAGACTGATGTCCACTACAGGTCTCTGGATGGAGATGGCAACTTTAACTGGAGGTTCGTCTTTGGCTTCGACTACCTGCCTGCTGAACAACTCTGCCTCGTGTCCAAGAAGGTGAGGCTTGTCTGGACTATTGACCAATTGGCTTAAGATAAAATCATTTTAAAACTACAGATGAAAAAATAGTGCTTGCGTTGTTGAAATAGGTAATCTAAAACATATTTTTGCATGTTCTTTATTTAACAGGAGCACTTTTGGAGTCTTGACAAAACAGAGTTCAGGATTCCCCCCAAGATGATTGTTCAGATATGGGATAATGACAAATTCTCACTGGACGATTACCTTGGTAGGACAATCTATTTTAAAATGGACAAAGAAAAATAGTTTCAAGTGTTTGGTTTACCTAAAGACCACCATTATAAAACCTGACTATTGGAATATTTTAATCTGTGATCCTAGGCTCAATGGAGCTGGATTTGCGTAACATGGTGTCCCCTGCGAAGACCCCAGAGAAGTGTTCTCTGCAGATGATGGATGATCTGGAAATGAGAACTCCGCCCAAGACAGAGCATGCCAATTCTCTGTTTGCTCAGCAGTCAGTCAGAGGCTGGTGGCCTTGTTCTATTGAACAGGATGGAAAGAAGGTCCTAGGCGTAAGTATGAACAGATAGTTGGCAAATTGCCTTGTTCAAACCTGTACTACTGAACAAATGAATAAACACAAATGAGGTTGGATGGGAATGTAATTCAACATGAGTTTAATACTTGCAGTAGACTCAGCAGGAATTTTGTTTTGATGTTAAAGACACCGTTGATTTTAAAACTGTTTAAACAAAGAAATTAATGTCATGCCTCCCACTCTTGTCTCCAACCTAAGCTAAAAAGTAACGGACAGAACAAAGTCAGATTGGTTCTTGTTGGTCAGATTGGTTTGCATATTTAGACACACTTCACAAGTTACATGCAGACTGGTGAATAGATTCTGCTCCATTAGAATATTAGAGCTCCTCATTATTCATTGTCTTCCTCGGTATGTCTGCTCGTCCGTCCTTTACAGGGAAAAGTGGAGATGACACTGGAGATTGTAAGTGAAGCAGATGCAGATGAGAGACCTGCAGGAAAAGGCAGAGATGAACCCAACATGAACCCAAAACTGGACCCTCCCAAGTAAGAACCCACAGTGGAATGACTGTTAAACATTAAACATATTCTTCTTAATTGCTAATTAGAATAAGTAAAAGTGTAGTTTTGTGGGTAACAGTCACTCTTTTACTTTCCACAACCATCAGCCGCCCAGATACATCCTTCTTTTGGTTCACCAACCCATGTAAGACCATGAAGTTTATTGTGTGGCGAAGGTTCAGGTGCCTCTTCATCGGACTCATCATCCTCATCATAGTGATTCTCTTCCTCGCCATCTTGCTGTACTCTTTACCGGTAAGGACGGGCAAGAGGGGCCAGCTAAGAATATTGGTCATATATTCTGAAACCTTTGGGTCCAGTTAGTATAACATAACTGCGGTTCCAAGTAGACAACATGTCCATTGTTATTTGCTCTTAGGCAGCATTTGAATTTTATGTGGTTTATGTGCTAGTCCACACTGGACAGAATCAGTGATTTGATTGTTCTCTTTGCATTTTCCAGAACTACATCTCAATGAAGATAGTGAAACCACTAAGCTAACTCTACAATGGAGGAGCAGTGGAACTGTAAAGGACGATTCAAACCTCCTACAGGATCACACTAACACGGCATAACTGCTGCCAAAGCATCAATATTTTTTGCCTATAGTATTTTATAAAGGTCTACTTAAAATGGGAAGGGGGGTTGCACATTTGCACTATATCATACTTTACTATGAACACTATGTACACCTATATGTGACCGACTTGTGAGCAAAAGATTTGTTTCCAAACCATTGTTGTTTTTTTAATTAGTGAGTGATGAGAAAAAGGAACTACCTGTACATTTTAATGCAAGCCAACACAACTGTCCCGTAATCGACACTTGCTTACTTTGGCATACTGTATGTAAAGAAGGGGATTAATTACAATTAATAATTAAAGGTTTCTCCAAGGCTGTATTTATTACAAGGCTGTTACATTTGATTGCATTACAATTAACAAGGGTTTTGGTTTCTGCCAAGTAATCCTGCCAATAACAACCTAAAAGTGACAAAGTGCGTCTGCCTTTTGTACATTACATTTTAACACATCTTTTAAATGTGCAGTGCAGAACTTTTGCGCCCCCTTCTGGCAGTAATTACACAAACACTGCCAACACATGCTTTTGATGTATGCCTACAGGCGAGTTCAGTTATTTCTGTGAAGTAAATGTAATAGCTACATGGGCTACTCCAAATATTTTACAAATGCCAGCATGTTTGCCCTCAGTCTCTCTCTTCTCTCAGCAACAAGGAAATGCTACAACCAAACAAGTCACTACTGGTTCACCAGCACAGCAGTTGCACCACACAAGATTTAAAAACTCTGGAATACTACAAATACAGATCAATTTACCTGGTGGTGATGGGCTTAATCAACATTGTGTGAACTCGTTTGACAAGGGCTTGAATGTAATGTCATTTATATGTTAAAGTCCAACACTTTGGCTTTTAATGAAATATATTAAAACTTATTTCCACAGGTGTTTGCGTCCATTATATTGATGGGGAAAATGTTTATGTATAAAACAGCTGTGAACAGTATAAGCAGCAGGATAACTTTCTTCATTTAGAATATTTCATTCATTGTTTGTCTAAATTGCAGATTAAGGTGCCCCTGAGCCGGGCACTTAATGCCCTCACACATACATATAAGAGTTAAAGGGAAATCTGATTACAGAAAAAGTTTAACTGATGTGCTTTTAAGTGAATTAAAACAATGTGACTGTTAACATTCAGATATATACAGCGTATGTTGAACAGAAGTTGCATTATATACATTTTCACTGAAAATGATCCATGAATAGCTAGAATAATAAGACTGGTGAACTCTCCTTATTGTCTTGTGTATTGTATTGTTTCCCCACAACATAAATTTATGTTTGTATTGAACTACCATCCATCCATCGTCAACCGCTTATCCTGCGTACAGGGACACGGGGGGCTGGAGTCAATGCCAGCTTACATCAGGCGAAAGGCGGGGTACACCCTGGACAGGTCGCCAGTTGTACTGAACTACTGCTGGGTTTATTCTTCCTCTGAGGTGTGATGTTTGAAGTTCTGCTGCAGGAAAGCCTCCACCTCTCCTCTGCGTGCCAGGCTGTTTGCTTTGCCTTGGAAACGTCCGTTTTTTCCCGCCCCCTTCCCTTGAAGAATCTCTAACACCCTGGAGAGCACAGAGAATCATACAACACCAACCGACATTAACATATGCAGAGGCTACATAAATATGCAGTGCTGTATCTTACCGCGGTCCCATCTCGGCCACTAGTCCACAAGGTCCAGCCAGTACAAACAAACCAGGTCCCTTCTCCTCTCCAACAGTCAGGAAAACCAAAGTTTCCTACAAGCACAAGACAAGGCTTAACAAAAATATTTAACTACTCCTATCAAGAACTAAACAGTCGCGTAATAAACTTACCTCTGTGTTTATTTCATTGGCAATGATATTCATGAACTCATTGTCACCCTCTTTTCTGTAGAAAGAGAGAGAATTTTCTTTCTGAAATACTGTTTGACAGTGTCTCCCTAGTGTTGTCTGGGTCATTGCTGTGTTTTTCTTTTGTTTTACAATGTTTAACATCAGAGCAATGTATGGTATAATCCTGTGCTTGCAAACAAGGCCATCAACTTGAAGAAAAGTCTCTTACTTGTGCAAGCTGAAGAAGTTGCCTTTCTGGGGGTCATTATTAAAGTTCTGGGCGATGAGGACAGCCATGTCCCGTAGCAGGCTCAAGTTAGTCTGCCCAAGACAATTTTAATGATGGTGTGGACAATGTGTTATGTTGCAGTAAACATATGTGATACAGTGCTTGTCAAAATGGAATTTGTTTTATCTAAATGGACATTTTCTTACTTTCTGTAGCAACTTAACAGACTTTTGCAACTTGTCAACTGCCTCAACATGCTCATCAGGTCCAGTTCTGTTGAACAATCACAAGGATAGTTCCACTTCAAACGCTGTGAATGAGTTTAACTCACACTGGTGATATTCTGATAAGCTGGACTTTGAACTTACTTTAGGAGAGACACCAGTGATCGCTCTATGCTATAGCTCTTCTCTGCATACTTCAATACCCTGTTTCCTGCCAGGAAGATCAGGTTGGTTTTGTTTTTCTTTCCTTTCTCAGTTCCCAGCAGCTTTATTACCTAAAATTTAAATACAGAGAACACATTGAGTTTAATAGAATCACTTGACCTAATCTTACAAATGACATAAATATCTGTAAAGCCATGTATGTACACTTTCACAACTAATTGCTTGGGTTTCTGCATGAGTGTGTGAAGCTGAACCTGTAAGTGGCTGAGGTTAGACACGTGGGTTCCACAGCACATATTGGCATCGATGCCCTCGATATCAACGATCCGAATGGGCCCAGCATGATCCTCTGGCAGTCCACGACTCCTCACCTGGTACACACACACACACACACACACATCACTATCTTTGCGGGGGCCTGTCTAATCATCACTACTAAGTGTCTAACCCTAAAACCAAGTCTTAACCCTCAAACAGCCCTTTAAACATGAGCCCACACAAAGTATAAAGGGCTCCCGGTTTTTGGACCCCACAAATGTAGTAAAACCAGCTCATGCACACCCCTCATGAAACACACTGTACATACAAAATGTCTAATTCATGATGAAGTACATTCAACAGAAGATGTATGTTGAAATAATACCTAAATATAACTAACTGATCGCACAGTAAGAGATCTGTATTTTACCACCAATAAGTACAATATCTGTATATGCACCTTTTCCACAGCAGGATCATCTATAGAGAGAAGCTGAACGGAGACAGGGACATGTTCTCTGATCTTTTCGTTTACAGCTTCCTCCAGCGCCTGGAGCTGGGCAGGCTTCACAGAGGGAGTGTCCAGTTCAATGGTGCTTCTCTGACGCCCCAGTTCCCTGGAAGAAACAAAAACAGAGATGAGAGTTAAACCCACAAGTTTTCTATGGTTACAGGGGAAGGAATCTGTGCAGTGGAGATGTACCAGGATGTCGTCTTGAATCCAAAAAATGTATCTGCCAAAGCTGTGATCAAATGTTGACCTAAAAGTACAGAAGAAAATAATCATGATTAGAACAACGGTGTGCAATACCAACATATGCTCATAGTCATGCATTTGTAATTCAATCTGGTAAAGAAGTTACTCCTATATGAACATGTACAACAGTCCCTGGCCGTATTAATTTATGCTTACTCACCTGAGTGTTGCTGCATGTGGTCAAACCTCCTCTCCCAGTCCACCTTCACATGCACCTCCTGACCCACCTCCAGAAGTGAGCTCAGAAAGTGTATGGCATCAGGCCCCTGCCTTGTCACCCTCAAAACTGGGACATCTCCAATCAGCCCATGGTCATCTGGCTGATGACAATACAAAACATGCAAATAATAAGAGTAGTAGTATGACCTTTTGGTGACTACTACTGATACAAACAATTCCCAAATGAGCAACATGATCATTTATGTACATATTTGATCACTGATAGGACTTGCTTGATGTAGAAATAGAAATGGTGGGGTATGATTCCAGCTTACTTGGCCGCCTCCCTCAGGAAACAGGATGGTGTCTTGGAGCTTGACATTGAAGCCCTTGAGAGTTTCTTTCTTTCCATTGACTTCTTGCTTGAGCTCAGCAGGGCAGCAGGATACCACAGAGGTAGTAAACTGAAAGGAAAACCATGAAATGCAAACTGATACTTGGCACGCAGCTGCAAAATGGGTGGGGGGTTGCAGTCTTATAATAAAGCTATAACATGGTGGTAAGTTATAACGTTATCCCTCTATTGGTTTACACACAAGGATTAAATTAGCGAAATTAAACCGGGGACAACTTTACTGAGTAAAATTTGAAGCAAATATGACTTATTCCAGTGCGTTAATGACACTTAAAAAATCCTACATTTAACGTTACTCTGCTTCTACTCATATTCTGCTAATACGTTATCAGAACATTGTTCAACTCAACGTTCATCAAATTGCTGTAAAATCGTAAGTAGAAAGCTTGCTCCCACTGGAACAGTTTGTTAGCAATCATGCTAATCATTTCAGCAGAGAATGACAAATCTCCGGGTTTCAAGGGTTTCGCATGCTATTAAACAATTCAACGCTGATAAACTGTCTTCAACAATTTCATACCTCTTTCATATAACAGTCTCGTTGACACTGAAAAGCCATTGTGGAGAATTGTTGAGGTAAAAACAAAAACGTATGCAGCGACCCACTCTGACAGCGTAAGTACGGCTAGCAGCATAGTCCAAACTTCATTATAGCGACTTTGGTTGACTTCGACTTGTTTCTTTTCATATACAGTCCATGTTTTAACATATATTTTAAAACGTGATAGGAAAGCACAGGGAATTGTCAGGGATAGAGAATTTTCATTTTCTTTTGAAGGCGAAACATAGAACAAGCAGATCACAGGAATGGATGAACGTAAAACCAAACATTATAACATATGGGCTATGTGTGTAAAACATGCGTTACAGTCGTGATGCATTAAAATAAAGTGTGTTTTAGGTGAGAGCAAAACATAAAACCTAGTGTACATCCAACCATCACCATCCAAGACAAAAAACAGTGGTTAATAACATCAAATAAATGACTCAATAAATTAATTAATATGGTATTAAATGTACTACTACTACTATTACTACTACTACTACTAATAATAATAATAATTTGGAAATTTGACAGTAATTGATGTTTCTGTTTTAATTTGCTTCGATAGTTATATTTTATGTTAATAGGCTTTATACATTAAAATTAAAGAATAAATGAATAAAAAAGAAAAACTAAATGAGTAAATAAAGCACCATATTATAATGAATTTCAAACCATGGTTGATAAAACTTGCTTTTATTAAAACTGACAATGATATGCCATAGTACAGTGAACAATAATATGTCAATAAATAATTCAATAGAAAATATAACATATGTAAAAATAGTATTTTGGACAATAACACATCAAGTCATCACAAACATGATAAGCTTCAGCAAACATAGCATTGTCCTCGCTATCCTGAGCAATAAAGTTATATAGCCTCCAACACAGGAGAGATGGTACTGTGAGTCTCAGTCAGACTGTAGGGGAAGAAGGAAGACAACATTTCAATGATTAATAAAATAATGAGGTTTTGATTTTTTATGAGTGAAGCAGGGCAAAACATTCGGGATTTAACAGAAACATGAAATATTACATTGTAAAAGTAACCTCCCAAACACCAGAACTCTGTACTTACATCACTAAGATCACCCATATCTGGTGCTTCCCCTTTATTATTGTTAGACATTTCTTGGATCATCTGAAAAAGGAATGCCAAGTGTTTACACACACATGAATCCAAACCCTCAGATATATAGTGGTGCTAATTAGCAGAGTTTCAGGAGCAGGACCACACATCAAGCACGTCATCGCCAGCATTTCCATAAATACCCAGAAGTCCTAAGTCATACATCTTCTGTTCGTTAATCAATAAATCATTTAATCATACCTGTTGATTGTGGTCCTTGCTAGTGAATGGATAATTAACACAATAACACATTGCATGTACTCACATCCATGTATCTATCGTATTCTTCCTTTCCCTCATCCTCTTCATGCTCCCAGTCCCTCCAGTTATCAAAGTCTACAGCTATCCAGCTGGGCTGCAAAAAATAAGAAAAAACTATTTAAATTATTTAAACATTTGGTTGTCTTGCCTACAAGCAATTTATAGTAGTTTTGGATTCATTTGAATTCTCATTTTAAATGTGAAAATCAGCTGTCCAGGACATGTTTCTTATTTAACATGTGTTTTTCTGATGTATCTACATTTCTTCTATCCATGTAGATCTTACCAACAGAATATAACCATAAATAAATTCATGTGAAAACTTTTATTATTTCTGAGGTCATGACAATTTTTCGACCTAAATGTAGGGCACACACACACACACACACACACACACACATACTTACCTTGGCTTCATCCTTCTGAAGACGAGGCCATGCATAATCAGGCTTCATCTTCCTTAGCAAGACATTGATGGTGCGGTCGTAGACTCTTTCCCTGGAGTCCTTTTAATGTATTGAAAGGATAAAAACACACTTATATTCACATCACACTGACTGTATATTTCATCATACAGCATATAAAATTAGTTATATTCTGACCATTGATCTCATCATGCCTAAAATTGGGACTCTTACATTGATGTGAACTTTGTCGTAGAAGTGCAGCACATTGTAGAACACATCATCTGTGTTGTTTTTGCAGCTGTTGTAAAGACAGGGCAGAGTTGTCAAGGGAACGATTTACATACACAATTTTGTCCAAATCAGTTTATACGCTAGTCCTCCGACACATTTTGAGCAATTGGCATCAAATTTTTCACAATTTTGTAGTACAGACAACAGGCCACATTATCATTTCACTCCCTGAAAATAGATGGCCATGGTTTTCCAAAAATCTCGTTGCACTAAAAGCTACTAAAGACAGAGCAATAAAGATATTTCACTAACAGAGAAACAAAATGCCACCCATGTTTAAACTCACCATAAAATCATTTTGTCTGGCTGGATATCAACCTGGACATCTTTAGGTTTATGAACCATGAAGTTGACGGTGACATATTTCTTTCTGTCAAACCACAGTGCATGTGCTGGCTGGCTGTTAAGACACAAAGAAACTATTATATGAATCGAATAGGTGGTCATTTGTATTGGTGTTTGACTTTCAAGAGTGAAACATTTTCATTATCAAAATAATTAGTAAAAAAGCACATGATCTTCAACAAGAGACTGGTAGCACTTACCTCTGCTCTGGTCTGACAATTTTGGGCTTGTTCATTCTGATGAAAAATTAAAACAGAAGCTATTTTCCTTTTCTTTTTACTCCCAGAAAGTAAAACGCATGTGGTTTGTGTGTTCGGGCTCTGTGCTCTAATGCAGTCACCAGGCCCCTGAGGCTATATATAGAGCAGTTGGTATCAGCTGCTGAGACTTGCCTGCCATAGCCCCTTCCCCTGCCCTTTATAATCTGTCAGTGGAACTCTCGAGAAAACACATGTACCTTCTGGGCTCTCCAATACTTCAGCCTCCCCCGACTGGGTGCAGAAAGGGTGAAGGTGGGGGCAGGAAGACAGAAAACAGAGAAGTGCATGTCTTCAAATGGGACATAAAAAATGTAGAAACTTTATTTGGAACCATGGAAGTAAGACTATTTGAGTTGTTGTTTTTGCCTTTCTGTCTTACTACTAATAATAATCTTTATTTATACATCGCTTTTTAAAAACAAAGTTACAAAGTGCTTTACATGGTTGAACCAGGATTAAAACATTTCAGGATTGAGACAAATAAAATCAGGCAATTAAAAAAATTCTGAAATTTTAAATGAAATAAAACAAAAACCCCAACAATAAAGATAAATACTAATAATAAAACAGATACTATATGCTGGCAATAAAATGTGTGCTAGACATTTTTTTTTAAAGATACATTTTGAAATGTTTTAAGTGAACATGTTGTTACATTTTCATTCCATGTAAAAATATCTGTAGGTAAGATAAGAGTTGTACACACAACACTGACAATTAAGGGTATAAGCGTGTCTTGACACCACCGCTCTGGATACAGGGCAAAATCTGCAGTTTTAATTCAATACCAATAGAGTTCAATGCAACACTTTTAAAGAATCTATATGGTCTAGTGAGTAGTGTCAACAAAGTTAACAGCACCAGTGTATTTTTAACACTAAATAGAGTTGTTGCCATTTTAACAATAGAGGATGTAAATTTTAACTCAATAATTAACTCTTTTAGAGTTGATTTGTATTTTAAAAATACTGTAGAGTCAATTTAAAATCCCCAATGCTACTCCCACACACAGTACAATATTAGTAATATTAGTAATTATTTATTATTTATTTATATATAATTAATTATTATCTGAATCAAGACGAGGAGCAGGTTCAAATAAGGGGAGCATTTCGCACAAGACACCATGACTGAAAAGTGTTCAATCCAAGATCTTTGCTACCGTCATCCATTATCAACCCACTTGGCCTGTTTCTTCTGTCATAATAACCATAGCTGAAACTTTGGATCCTCTGTGACAATCAAAGAAAGATACTTCTTATTGAAAAGGTATTGAAAGACAAGTTTCAGTTCACACTGATAAACCTTTAAACAAATTGTGCATTATAATATAATAATTTATCATTTAGCTGACGCCAGAGCATATTACAATTGCGTTACAATGTGTCAGAAGTTATCCAACGAAGGTTAAAATCAAGGGCAACTGGACTTGGTTGAAGATACTGGAAGACGTTTCGTCCCTCATCCAAAGGACTTCTTCAGTCAGAACTGAACTGGAAGATGTTTCGTCCCCAAAGGACTTCTTCAGTTCTGACTGAAGAAGTCCTTTGGATGAGGGACGAAACGTCTTCCAGTATCTTCAACCAAGTCCAGTTGCCCTTGATTTTAACCTTCGCTGGATAACTATGACCTGGATGACTGAGAATCTTCATAGACATCGTGTCAGAAGTTGCATGCCTCTGGAGCAACTCGGTGTTAAATGTCTTGCTGAGGGACACATTGTTGGATATCACAGTGGAAATTTAACGCAAGTCTCCCGCACAAAAGGCATGTGTCTTATCCACTGCTCCTTCGCCACCCAACTGCATAGTTATCAGAGGTATGGGAAAAAATGTATTGTGCAAGCATGTCTTCTTGACACTGAATTTTATTTAAAAAAGCCTCTGCTTTATCAAAAAATCTAAATCCACATTTCTTCAGGTCTTGTGAGTGAACGAGTGCCACAGCATGAATATTCATCAATACAGAATTACATTTTGGGGATATGTTCCTCGTAAATACAACCACGTTTGTGTATCCTTTTATATGAACTTAAGGGTTTGTCTCAAAATCATCATAATCAAGTTGAAACAAATCATCAATTTTTAAGTATGCAACACTAAATAACTAGCTAAGACATCGAAATAATCTTAAATTAAAAACTTTGACAGAAATAATGATGCAAATCAAAGAAATGAACAAGGGACCTGACTTTTGTCAACACAGTTTTGGGTAAATAAAATACTGTATTCTGCACTGGCCTGCATTTAGTACACTAAACTGCCTAATGCACAGGGTTTTGCAGTGTGGCACAGAGTTGCCCCCTGCTGGTCTGGCGGCTCACACCCCATTTGTCACCGGAAATGCAATTCTCCACTCTGTCCGTGCGTTGAATGTGGCGCGAGAGACCCAGGGAAACGCTGTGTACGTTTAAACTTGTGCCTGAAAAAAAATCAATAAATAGTTTTTCTTTCGTTTGTGTATCTAAGGCTTTAGGGTGTTGTGCTTTTTGTGACTACAGCCCTACAGGGAGTGGTGCTCATCAAGGTGAAAATGCCTCGTAGACGACAGGTAAGTTAAGAAGAAATGTAGGTCGCACAGGAGGGTAACGTTAGCTACGTTAGCACCGATGCTTTCCACTCTCAGATGGGAAGAACGTTCCACCATATTCCATTCAATAATCTGACATATTAGCATGCCAAAACATTGGATTAGTTGTGAGTATGTTCAGTGCCACAGTCTGCGTTTAATATTTCAACCTTATTAACGTTAGTTGTCATATTTAGCATTTTTGAACATTTCGAGTTAACGTTAAAGTGTAATAAATGTAACGTTAACGTTAACGTTATCTTGGTGGGCGGTAACGAACATCTAACGTTAAACGAAATCTAAAACTTTAACTTGGATACTATTGTATAAACTGTGCTTTTGTGGGTCATATGTATGCCGAATTTACCATAAGACCACAATAGCTGGTATTATGTCAATGATATGTTAAAAGGTAGACAGGGAAGCACTACATTTTCAACTGTGAGATTTGTTAATGCAGTTTGGTGCCACAGTGTATTAGCGTATAAGAAAACGGGGGCAGCTTAGCTAACGTGACATGCTAAGCTAACAATAATAATAGGCTGCTGAAGTACTAACCGGGCTACCTACTTTGTGGTGTAGCCACTATTGTGGCTATCAATTGTAACATTATTTGACTAGTTGCTTTTGAAAAGTATCAAATGCTAACCGGTAAAATATAACGGGCCGGAAACGTTAGTCACAGCTCTTGCATGTTACAGACCCAGCTAACAGCGAGCTATCAGCTGTCTGTGGCCTTTTTCTCAAAGCAAGATTGCAGAGTTTGTTGGAAACAGAAACGGTGGGCAAACCCGTTTACAGCTCTTGTTACACAAGCATCCTGTTGTCCCGGATGCTAGTTTTATTAATCCAAATTAATCATTGGCAAGCTAGCGTCACTGATTGTCCTTTGTGATACATACTCCTGTTGTTGTCATGTCTAATTTACATCCGTGACACTAGACATGGCACATCAGCCAAGATTTGTACCATGAGTATGGATTTGTTTAGGATCCCTCTCATGTAAGTTTTTTCCCTTGATAGAGACTTATGGCTGGGAGTGGTTCAGATGGGACTGAAGACTCGGACTCATCTGCTGAAAGAGAACAGACCAATAGCTCAGAAAGTGATGGGAACATGCACAAGAGACAGCGCCTCACCAGAGCCTCAACTCGCCTTAGTCAAAGCTCTCAGGGTTGGCCAACATATCCTGCAAATGAAATATAAAACTTTTAAAGCGGTCTTCATCTCAGCTGTTTAATCATGGTTGTGGTGTGACGACTTCTGCTTTAGATACTCCGGACTTGAAGCGAACTGCGGACCATGATGAATCTCCCCCATTGACACCCACAGGAAATGCCCCATCCTCTGAATCTGAACTGGACATCTCCAGCCCCAATGCCTCCCATGATGAGAGCCAGGCCAAAGATCAAGCAAACAGGGACTCAGACAAGGACCTCTCCCATCGACCCAAACGCCGCCGCTGTCACGAGACCTACAACTTCAACATGAAATGCCCTACGCCGGGATGCAATTCGCTTGGTAAAATTTCTGCCTTTGTGAAAATGTCATACTTCTGTTTATTAGGCAGCAGGGTAGGGTCATTCCTTATTATTTATACTTTTATTTCTATTCCGTGACATCCTGTACTATCATAATCTTATTGTATTGACTGAACGATTAATTGCATTTGCAATATTATCGCAATATGATTAAATTAGATTTTCTAATCACAAAGACACGTGATACGCGAGGGAAAACTGCAGAGGAAGCATTAACTTTGCACATTACGCTGTACCTTGACTTGTTGTTGTACAATGGCCTTAAGCTTAACAGAAGGTGACAATACAGAAACTTCAGTGTCACACAAGGAATGAAAGTAGCACCCGCCACCCGCGGGTAACTTGGTGGTGGTGAGTGAAATCGACAGGCCATCTGCTACTTTTGGCGGACAGGAAAAAATGCAAAGAGAAAGACACGTGTAGAAAGGTAAGTGATCGGCACCAGTGTCTTACACACAGCAACCAGTCAGCTCAGGAAATATCTATGAAACGGGTTTTTAAACCAAACTCACAAATCCGAAAGAGGCCCAGTCTGTTCAAGTTACAGCCTGGTTACAGCCAGTGCGCTGCTTAGCATCTGAGGCATCTGAGGCTGAGGGGTTGGGGGACTCCGGTGTTGTCAGAGGATTACTAAGCTTGTCTATTAAACACAAGAAGTGTCACTTGGTTTTATTTTCGTTGGCTAACTTTTGAATTAAACCTCAAACTGAGTATTTTTTGAGGTTTTTGTTGAGAGATGGTCTCCTTGGAAATTTGATTGGTGGTTGAACTGTGGGTTTTGTATTGAGCACTTACTGTATAATACACTACGTTGGACTTTGTTTCTGTAGCTAAGCCTACCGGATGATAATATATTATTTAATGCCATGACTTGACTCTCAAATTATCTTTCCATTGCTCATAATAATAATTCATGCATCACCTAATTTCATCATAACACAGGCCTCGCCTACAAGAAAGAACAGTGTATGTTTAATCTATCTAATATTGTGTTGGTACTATACACTTGATGTATTGCTTGTTCGTTTTGAAAAATACAGAAGGTGAGCTTAAAAAT